CAGATACTTGATAGCTGGGTAACCCAGGACCACGCTACCCAACACCCTGGGTTGCCACAATACTAGTATTTACAAATAAAGTGTAGCGACCACAAGCCAAAGCTAGATCTAAATTAAAGGTGTGTTGTGTTGTGTTGTGTAACATGCCGCGTACCTAACGTAACAGACAGAATAGAAAGAGGGAGATATGCATATCTACCTGAGGGACCGTAGGGACCGAAGGTAGATGTGTATATCTCACGAGGGATGAACCCCATATCCAAACCGACCGTACATAACTGCTTTATCCTATACCAAGTAGAGTTTTCTAATTTTCTTTCAATTTTGTTTCTATTTTTTTTATTTTTTCAATTTTTTTCACATTTTTCTCAATTTTTTCAAACTTTTTTTTATATTTTTTTCTTTTTTTCAATTTTTTTTCACATTTTTTCTTTTTTTAATTTTTTTCTAATTTTTCAATTTTTTTTCGAAGCGGGAAGATATGCCCTGGAGCGGGAGATATGGCGGGAGATATGGAGGTTCAGGATATGGAAACCTCAAAATCAGGATACGGGATATATCTTACCAACTTATCTCCCTAAAACTCTACTTGGCATAGGATAAAACGCGTTACATCTTTCTTTATTTCGATGTGAAATAACAAGCTATGATATTGGTTAACACGCTAGAAATTAAGATAATATTATTCGAAGCGATATAAGAAAATTTTGAATCCGCCATTTTTGTTTATCGATTTGGACCAATCAGAGGTGTATGTCATCTCAATACAGGTTTACATTATAACCGTATGTCATCTTTGAACTCTGGGGTTAATCCCTCTCTTGGCTCATTGGTTCAAATCTTAAAGTCAATGCATTTCGGGAAGTGCATAGCTTATGGTCCTGAAATTTCGTATATGCTTGTGAGAAGGGTGATCTGTTTTAAATTTCATGTAAAAATGATAAATAGAGGATATCCTATGATTTATGAGTGATATGATTTTTATCCACGAATGGATATGATATCTGCACGAGCGAGCGTAGCGAGAGAGTGCAGATATCAATATCCATGAGTGGATTAAAATCATATCACGAGTAAATCATAGGATGTTCTTTTTATTCCATAGTTAAAGTCATCATCAGAATCGTCGGAAATTAAGTTATTTAATTCGAATTTCCAAACGATCCGGCGATGTTGACACTTAGCCTCGTTTTGAGTCTGAAGTAGCAAAAATCCATAAACCATCGCATACGACGTCGTATGTCATGGCTAAAAAACCGTATGTTATGGTTAAGTGAAAATTTGTCAAAAATATCATATTTTACCACTGATTACAAAAATACCGTTTTTATTTTCACATGTTATCCTATGGATATCATGCTAACTATGGAATAAAATCTATTATCTAGAGAAGCTTTCGCGAAAAACTTCGAACGACCCTAATGCATAGCATATGATATCCATTTTTAAACTTGTGTATTGTTTTTTTGGCCCACCCTGTACAGTGTACGAACACTGTGCTCAAATATTTTTATGATTTGCCCCGTCCACCCCAAAACATGAGTTACCATAGTATTGAAGCCATATTTTTTGATCAAAGTTGAGAAGATTAAATGAAATTTGGCATTCTAATTTGAGATTTTATTTAACCCTTTCTGTGAAAATTTGAATGAAAATGGCACAAAGTTTGTTTTGAGAGCGAATTTTTTTTAAATATCTTCATACGAAACTTCACCAATTCTTTTAAAACATATGTTTAACTATCTGGTGACACCTGAGATACTGTACCATATACCATTTACTTTCTCTTATACCATATACCATATCTTTACATCTCTTATATATTACCATATACGATTTTTGCTTGCTCTTACACAATAAACGAAGAATTTTCACCCTCTTATAATATATACAATACACCCCACACAAAAGGACAACGCAATTCACAAAATGCATTTTGAAAAGGAAAAAGAAATGTGTACGCCCACTTGGTAACTCACCTCCTTGTAAAATCTGGCCAGAGCAAGGAATTTCTCACATTTACTAGATTTCATTTTATAAAAAGCGGGTAACCATTGATTAGAAAAAGAGTCAGTCTGACATTGGCACTTTGCATTTCTCGGAACAACAAAAGAGTCAGGTTAAAGACCGGCACTTTGCATTTTTTTAGAACAACAATTAAAACGAAACTAGTTCTCACACGTAAAACAGGACATTTTTATAACATTCAAGACTCGTTTCGGCAACTAGGCAACCACGTATAAGTGTAAATATCTTTTATTTACAACTGTTTCTAAGATTATTCTCAGAGGATTTTGAAAGCCAGCCAAAACTTAATTTGTTGATTTTGTTGTCTTCTAAGAAGAAGTATATCCTGCAGTGTACAGTGTTTAGCAGAAAAATCCCATTCGTCATTTTTTCTTGGCTTTCTTGTGGTAGTTTATATAGATCAGTATGATCCAAGATAGGGGAGACCAGGGTACAACGGGAGTCTTTTTAAGATAGACAGATTCACAAACATAAATAGCCACTCGGCATTAAAACGTGTATATTTAAAAATGAATACCAATGAAAAAAGATGAAATTAAATTGCCTTAATTCAAGACCAAATATTCTTGTAGCATATAGGGTCGGGGTAGCCAGGGTAATACGTATAACAACATCCATTTGAAGTGAAATGAAATCGCCTTTCAAGACCAAATATTCTTGTTTCATATAGGGAAGGGGTAGCCAGGGTAATACGTATAGAAACATCCATTTGAAATGAAATGAAATCGCCTTTCAAGACCAAATATAATTGTAACATATAGGGTAGGGGTAGCGAGGGTAATTCGTTTAACAACATCCATTTGAAATGAAATGAGATCGCCTTTCAAGACCAAATATAATTGCAACATATAGGATAGGGGTAGCCAGGGTAATATGTATAACAACATCCATTTGAAATGAAATGAAACCGCCTTTCAAGACCAAATATTCTTGTAGCATATAGGGGAGGTGTAGTCAGGGTAATACGTATAGCAACATACATTTGAAATGAAATGAAATCGCCTTTCAAGACCAAATATTCTTGCATATAGGGAAGGTGTAGCCAGGGTAATACGTATAGCAACATCCATTTGAAATGAAATGAAATCAATCGCCTTTCAAGACCAAATATTCTTGTAACATGTAGGGTAGGGGTAGCCAGGGTTATACGTATAGCAAAATCCATTTGAAATGAAATGAAATCGCCTTTCAAGACCTTATATTCTTGTAGCATATAGGGTAGGGGTAGCCAGGGTAATACGTATAGTAACATCCATTTGAAATGAAACGAAATCGCCTTTCAAGACCTAATATTCTTGTAGCATATAGGGTAGGGGTAGCCAGGGTAATACGTATAGTAACATCCATTTGAAATGAAATGAAATCGCCTTTCAAGACCAAATATAATTGTAACATATAGGGTAAGGCTGGGTAGCCAGGGTAATACGTATAACAACGTCCATTTGAAATGAAATGAAATCGCCTTTCAAGACTAAATATTCTTGTAGCATATAGGGTAGGGTTAGCCAAGGTAATACGTATAACTATTTGAAATGAAATGAAATCGCCTTTCAAGACCAAATATTCTTGTAGCATATAGGGGAGGTGTAGTCAGGGTAATACGTATAACAACATCCATTTGAAATGAAATGAAATCGCCTTTCAAGACCAAATATTCTTGTAGCATATAGGGTAGGGTTAGCCAAGGTAATACGTATAACTATTTGAAATGAAATGAAATCGCCTTTCAAGACCAAATATTCTTGTAGCATATAGGGTAGGGTTAGCCAAGGTAATACGTATAACTATTTGAAAAGAAATGAAATCGCCTTTCAAGACCAAATATTCTTGTAGCATATAGGGTAGGGTTAGCCAAGGTAATACGTATAACTATTTGGAATGAAATGAAATCGCCTTTCAAGACCAAATATTCTTGTAGCATATAGGGTAGGGATTAGTTGCTATTACTGCGTACAAGGTCATATGAGCAAAAAGCAAAAGACTGACATTGAAACGCTTGAAATGATATATTCAACCGATTGAAATTATCCACGTCTATGTTCTAGAATGTGCAGTGGTTCTGAAGAAATCAAAAGTATTTGCTCTGAGTTGACTTCTCCAAGACAATAGATATAGAATATATTTTAAAGTTTTCATTGACATTATGTTAACATCAATATTGTGAAAAAGATTGCATTACTCAAAAAATTCCCATGTATCAAAACACGAAATGAGATCATCTACTAAAGGAGTGGTATCGATATGGAGAACTGAATTCAACAATGTTTTTCTCTTAAACCAATTATTGAAAACATTCTGTAAAAAACACGGTATTTTATGTAATGTTGACTGATTGACAGCAATTTAACGCGAAAATTATTTAGAAATATTTTATATAGCTGCTTTTGTTAACATTTCTTTTGTTTTTTTAGTGCAATTGTTTTTGCTCATTTCTACCAATTCTTGAGAATGAAATGAAATGTCTTTCCGAACCTTGTTGGAACAAAATAGCATATACAACATGTTAAGACCTCTCAATATTATAGTAATACAAAGGAATTTTTGGTTGATTTTAAAAAAGTATTCATAAAATTAAAACAAAATCCCCCCAAAATAGATAAAAATCAAGATAAACCTTTTATTTCATTAACAAGATACTTCTTTAAAATCAACCAAAATTTCCTTTGTACAATTACAATATTGAGCGACCTAAACATGTTGTGTTTATGTCGTTTTGTTCCAATGAGGTTCGGAAAGATGTTTCATTTCACTCTGGAAACGTGATACCAAGAACAAAACAAGTCTTTGATGTGTTTTCTAAAACAATATAGATGAAAGTTTATATATATTTTTCAAGTTATAGTGTTACCATTCAAAAGATGACCATTAAATCGACTATGTGTTAAATTTTTAGATTTTTTTGATGACTGGTTTAAGAGAAACGTGTGTTCAAAAAGTTCTCCATATCGATACCACTCCTTTCACTGGAACGACGTGTTACTAAGCATGATCTAAAATTGTGCCTTTGTGCAATTTTTCAAAAGGAGTCTCAATTGTTTTCAATCAGAACAAATAAAACACTTCTCAGAACTGCAGAACAACAAAAGCCTGTTTTCTTGGAACTATTTTATCAGGTATATAAAGTACTTTGATTGCGTATTTTTTAAATCTTGCCATCACACCTGAAACACCAAAGAGCATCTGCCCTATCAGCTAATATAGAGTAAGTCTTATTATGTTGTATTATATAATATTATATTATATTATATTGTATTATATTATAATCATATTATATTACCATAATATTATATCATATTTCTCTATATTTTCAAGATATCTAAGCTATCTATGCCATGTATACTGTTCATTAATTTTATTTGTTCTTCAAGCAAAGTGACTGACGTAATTTCTGCTTGCTGAATTTATGAACAAATTTAAATACAAATTTAGAACAATAGTTGTTCGTTCATGAATTTTTCTGAAACCACCTTTTAGAACATACATGTCTGTGTGCCGTCTAAACTAGAATGTATTCTTATGTTGCTATATAATGGTTAACTAGAAAAACAGGTATTTTTAAGTTGTGACATTTTCAGGAAATAACGTTTCTATCAAAATTTATTGATTGGACGATCTTCTTAAATGGTTTGGTCTCATTGCTGCCATGCCAACGGACTTTATAAGAGTACATAATATAAAGAGAGAATAATAAATGACCAAATGTCTTTATTGTAGAAGGCATTTTCCGTGTTTCAGATTATTCCAAGATGGCTGGCAAACTTATCGTGTTGTGCATGATGGTGGTGATTTTGGCAAGCATTTGTATAGATGACAGCACTGCATGTTTTGTCAGCCGTGTCACCCACATACATACCTGCAACAATTGCAAAGTGTAATAAGTGTTTTATTGTCATTAAAACTATTAAGTGTAGTGTAGTGTTTCTATTATATTCCATTTCTTACGTATACGTAGAATTTAAAAGGCACTTTTAAGTAGAAGTAGAGTAGTAATTTAAGGAGAAAAATAACAAATAATATGTAACGTGTTACTCATACAATTAATTAGACACGAAACAAAGATTATTTTGTGTAAATAAGTGAAGAAGGAAAAACAATACTGACCTAGAAAACAGAATTAGAAGTTCAGAGATCAAAGTGATCCGTGCACACTTTTACACATACACTTTTCACCAAGGTATTTTTAAGTTTTTGAATATTTTTCCATGGCACATCATTTCAAAAATATTTTGCAAACTTGTAACTGAATTTTCTTCATAGCTTATTACTTTCGTACTCGAGCAAATGACATTTGCTGAATGTAACATAAATATGCTGGATAGAAAACTAAGATGACGAGTTATACTTTAATTCATTCTTTTTGTATGACTTGTTCACGTTTTACAAGGAATCTTGCACATGGCATCTGTGTTACCTGCAGTGTCACATTCTACATTCGTGAGCTAGGCCTTTTCGGTTGTAACCTCTTTTAATGGATCATGTTCAAATGTTTTTAAATATGCTACAGTTATAAACAGGCATGTGTGTAATTGTCTTCTTAAGTAAACCTGGTTAGCGGTCAATGGCAATCCAGTGTTATTGAGAAACTTGGAGAAGAAATTTGCTTTTTGCAGTCATTTTGAATGATTTTTCTTAAACTATCAGCATCTCCTAGAGTTGAAATTAACTTCTTACCAGGTTAACTAAAGGATGATAATGCAAGGATACTTTCCTGAAAAGCAATAAAATACAAACATCCCTTCTTATTTTATTTTGTACCAAAAATAACATGTGCAGGTATAGCAATTTCTCATCTTTTCCACATGTACCTAATTAAGCCTATGAATAATCACATTCTGTGCCTTTCAGCCACAAACGATCGGTGAGGAAGAATTCCGAGTACACTAGCACATTCAAAGCTTGCGACTCAGATGACAATGGAAAACTTATTGAAAAAGAGATGATGAAATGTTTTCCACAACCGGGAAGTCATCTTGCTGAGATCTTTGAATCTTTGGACATTGATAGAGATGGTGAACTTACTTTTGAGGAGTTTCAGAAAGCCGAGTTGAATCCCAAAAAGAAACCGGGTAAGCTTTTAAGACTCCGTGCAAAGTAATGATACTAGTTATAATTAAGATTAAAAATAAATCATATGAGGACTGGACGTAATCTGTTCTTTTATTTGCCTAGTAAAACAGTTTATTACTAAATACATTGTGAAAAACAGAAACTTAACATTTTCATTTCAGTGGATAAGGCAACAATGACTGTTGATATTACACTTAGCACCGTTTACAGAATGGATTAGGCATGTCCAGCATTATTCATGTTTTAATTACAGTGGATAAGGCAACAATGACTGTTGATATTACACTTAGCACCGTTTACAGAATGGATTAGGCATGTACAGCATTATTCATGTTTTAATTATCTAGACATTACAAATTTTATAATAAATGTATATTGTATACTCTTTCAATCTAGCTACCAACTGTCACTTGGATATGCTAGAAAAATGCGGAGGCAGCTTCCTGCAATTTGCGCATGCGCATGCACGAGATCAAAGCATAAGCGAGACCTCTATGTGCGAGGCTCTACAGGTAAATACTAATCAAAACCCTAAGCCCTGAAATTTTTTTATTAATTTTTTTATTTATTCATATATATTTCAACATCAAATATACAGTAAACGGGTGACACTTCTCGTGTATATTCCCGTGTTTATAATCATGAAATGTACAGATTGGGGATCCGCTTGTGTGATGAATGCTACTATCTATGTCTGACTAAGAATGTGTCATATAATGCCCAATATGGTTATCTGAAATTGATATTATTGATTGATAAAATATTTTTTCAATTCTTTTTTCATAATAAAAATACTTCCAGATGATGTTATTTCAATAGGTAATGAATTCCAAATTGATGGTGCAGTAAATGATATCAGAGCTTTACCATAATTTGTTCGAATTTTGGGTTTGTCATAGTTTACCCTATTTCGGGTGTTGTAAGCATGTCTCTCTTGGATGGTACTGAAGAGGTTTGGAAAATTTTTAAGATAATTATGGAGTTTATTAATCCATTTGTACATGAAAATGCATTTCAACTGCTTATTAATATCAAATATATTCAAAATGTTGCAAAATATGAAGGGAGTTTAACAAACCACTACCTGCTTCACCCCAGATAAGATTGCCATATATCAAATAAGAGTAAATAAGGGAATAATAGATGCTCAAGAATGCTTTATCATTTAACAGTTGTTTGACCCTATATAGAATACCAATGGTTCTGGAGAATTTTGTTCACTATGCCCCGCCTCTGACGGCTATTTCAAAAACTAGCAATATGTATGATGCGACATCTATCTCAAACATTACATTACATTAAAGTCAATTTGCAAGCAAATAACCATTATATCTTTTTTGACTTGAGGTGAAAATAATATATTTTGTTTTATCCGCATTAAGGGATAATTTATTAGTGATAAGCCACTCCTCTATTAGTTTTAGTTCAGTATTGAGAATATCAGCAAGTTCAGATTTTTACCTTTTATCAATAAATTGGTATCATCCGCGAATAAAACAAAAAACAACCGTGGATAAGAAAGGTAAATGTCATTTATGTACAGAATAAAGAAAAGTGGTCCAAGAATTGAACCTTGAGGGATTCCACACGTGATAAATTCAGACTCAGATAAGGTATTGTTGTAAAATGTTTTCTGAATTCTGTGTGTAAAATAGCTTTTGATCCAATTGAGTGCAACACCACGAATGCCATAAAATTCAAGTTTACTAAATAGGATGTTGTGATCAATTGTATCGAAGGCCTTGGAAAAATCAAGAAACAATCCAATGGTAAATTCCCCATCATCAATCGCTTTTCTAATCTTTTCAATAAAAGTAAGAACAGCCATTGAAGTTGATCTTTTTTCCCTAAATCCAAATTGGTTAATGTACAAAATATCGATAGAGTCTATGAATGTAGAAATTCTATGATGAATTATTTTTTCCAGGATAATCCTCAATTATTTTTTATAATTGGCCGAATAAAACAATTTTTTTTAATACAAATACATATTCAATGCATACAACTGACTCTATAAATAACTATACTCACAAACTAAAATGTGACCATTTAAAGCCGAAAGCTCTAGATGCTCTAGACTCTCCCGATCATGTCAGGGGCATTAAAGAAATCTATGGTTAACTATTGTAGCAAGGAGGATTTACTGTAAGCATTGCCGATAATCTGATGTCAAGGACGTCATGACTTACTGGTCATACGCTTCACACGTAACATGTTGCAAAAGGCGTTAAGGTCAAATTCGGTGATGATATTACTAATTTTTCGACGAATTGCCTGGTCTTGAGTTAGATATTATAGTAACTACCATTATTAATCATTGCCAGACAAATGAAGATCGAGAAGGAATCATGGCTGCCAATTCTTGCTATTGCAGGTAGTTATTGAAATGGTCATTTAGGGTATTACTATTTTGTTTCCTTGTGTTAAGGAGTATGGTAACTGTGTTGACGAGAAGAGTGGGACATGTCACACCGAGGACACCAAAAACTTCGCCGCGAAGTTGCTTCACATGATTCGGACGTCAAAGAAAGATGGCGTATGCCCTGACATCAAGATAAATGGTCTTGACAACAAAGGTATACGAATTAAAATATTTTTTAAAAATATAAAAGAAATGTGTCACACACAGCTATAATAATTATATATTAGCTATTTCTGCTTGAATTATGCAATTTGTATCCATATTTTTTATATAACATTCTAATTATATATGTATGTAGATTTTACAGTATTCTTAGAAAGGTTTCATTTTTCTATTGCTCCATGTTTCCTCAGAGTAGGTTTCACAATTACTCTTCGAATAGGATTTAATATGTTTCTTCATCAGATTCTCCACTTCCTTATTATTAGTCTCACACTATTTTCAATTAAACGAGTTTCTTCATTTCCTTCGTTCAATTTTCACCATTTCCCGAGAACAGGCAATTTTTGACACTTTCCAATTGAGATCGTAAGGAAGCGTATCAATATACATGAACTGAAATATACAGAATATTCTCATATAAGCTCTTATATTATATCCAGATGATGGGAACTTCGAGAAGCTGCCATGCAGCAAAGATGCCATCCTGAAATGCGACAAACAATTCCTGGATGATATCCTACAGTGGACACCTTCATGTGATGCCCTAGAGGCTTATGATGAATGCCTTCAGAAGACGACCGAGTCGTGCAACGACGAAGCCTCGGAAAGCGCACGTAAGGCGGCTGACGACATCTTCAAAGCCTACAAATCTACAGGCGAATGCGACGGCAACACTTATTAATTATTGGTCAGATCGCCACCATATGACTGTCTGAGTAAATGCTATGCTATACAATCAAGAGATCGAATGTGTGTCATGTACTTTCTGTAACATCAAGACCTCTCAGGAATCGTTTAGAATGATATATTTAGCTTACATTTGACAAAACAGTTTTATAAGTACCGATGTATGTAAAATGTAAATGCTCAACGGCTTTTCTATGCTTTGAAATTTGTGAAAGAGTGCTCGTAAAATAGTCATCCTATCGAAGATCTAAAACATATTTCTATGATTCTGTTTTCTTTTGTAATAATGTGGATTAAGATAATTCCGCAAGTTCTGAAATTGGGTTCCTAAGGGGAGTCCTATGCTACTTTTAATTAAACATAACTCATTCCATACGTATGATCCAGATCTTTCAGTTTTCGCAGATAACATAAATGTACCTAGGTTATTAGTCGAGGATTAATAATTTATCACAATATATAAAAATAAAAAATCAGTGACCTACATGAACCTTTTCAAAAAATGTAGGTCAATGACGTTTCTTCGTTTTATAGGGTGGTCAAAAAATGGCAACCCTGCATTTTCCTCATATCTTCGTCGTTTAAGAAGAATACTCCCTGATGTTTTACACATTTGTACGTCAATCAATTTCCATCAACCTATTAAATTTCATGACCAAACTGATAATTACAATGTTACAGTACTTTGCACAACATGCTCCCATGTGGCCATCATCGTGCTGTAGGCAAACCTGGACGATCTATCTTTGAGGTCATTCTTGTACATATTTGGTGGCGTATCCCCAAAGGATATTTTGGATGACGGGTGCAGGTTTGCCTACAGTGCAATATTGGGATCCGGAGCATGTTGTTTCAAGTTCTGTAACATTGTGATATCAGTCTGGTGGTCTTGGAATATAAGGGGCTGGTAGAATATTAAATGATGTAATGTGCCAAATATCAGGAAGCAATTCCCAAAAATGACAAAGATATGAAGAAAACACCGACAGGGTTGCCGCCTTTCGACCACGTGTACATCTAGAATATTTATTTATGCTCAACTATAATAATCTAGGTATATTTATGCACGCAGTGCAAAACTGAAGCTAATAGATCTTGTATAAAATGAGTTATAAAATTATGTGTACCTGAAATAATATGGGATTTCTACATACGGTTAACCAACTTAAATAAAGTTATAAGATATAATCCATACAAGCCGATTCACAAGTATTGGGACTAGGACTAACATTTTCTCACTTATTTTCCAATTCACACATTATTTTCATAATAAGTATTGAGTAAACTTATATGTCGCTATCCATCCCTTTGGTTTCATTACACCGAGCTAACATATTTCATGCGAAAAATGCACAAAGGATCCGGGACATTTATTTTCACGGTGGAGTTTAGGATCTCACAATCCCATCTAGATCACAGAGTTTTTTGCAATATCCACCACCAAACTATACAAAGTCACGATTCAGAATGTACTAATCTACAGAATATAGAATGTGTAATGATATCCAGTTTCTGGTATCATCTTGCTAACTGCCTTTGAGGTATTATGTTACTTGTACATGTGTGGGATTACAAATATACAACTTGGTCTTCTAAAGCTAGAACTTGTACTGTCCAGATCATTACATGGTACTGCGTGGTGAAATATTTAATAATACAATACAAAAAATGGATTATTAGCATAGAAAGGCCTAAAAATGATGATGAATAATATTCCGAAGCCAGAAAGGGTGGATTTCTCCAACAATTTGGAGAAACACTGGTTAAATTTCAGGAGTGAATTTGAGTTCTATCTAGATGCCCTTGGTGAAATCACAGACAAACAGAAGATAGGACTACTCGTTACCTGTGCTGGGCCCAAAGCCAGTCAACTGTTTAAGACATTCAAATTTGATAAAGACGAAGACTCTACAAATTATAAGGTTGTACTTCAACAATTTGACGCATACTGCATCCCAAAGCAGAATGAAACCTATGAACGTTATGTATTTCGGATTAGATTACAGAAAAATGGAGAATCCTTTGAAGAATTCCTGTCAGATTTGAAGGTGAAAATCACCACATGCAAATATGGGACACTGGAAGATTCTATCTTACGTGATCAGTTAGTAATCGGAGTCAACGATGACACGCTCCGAGAACGCCTATTAAGGCAAGATGATTTGACATTGACAAACTGTGAGAAAATTTGCAGAGCTGCAGAGCAAACCGTTGAAAGAATGAAGACATTTAAAAATGTTGAGACTACTGCGTCTGCGGACATCAACAACGTGACAACTACCCCAAGGATGATAACAGACTGTTCACAATGTGGATATGATCATGCTATCCGTAAATGTCCAGCGTATGGACAAACGTGCAACAAATGCGGCAAGAGGAACCACTACTCATCTAAGTGCCACATCACGAAAGGTGCGCGACCCAAGGAGTATGGACGAAAAAAGCGACAATCAGGCCGCAGAAAACAGGTGAACATTGTAAATGATGAAAATGAAACCGATAGCAGTGACTGTGAGTATTACATAAATTTTGTAAATGAACAACCTGAAGAACAGTACTCAGAAATCAGTGACAATGAACCATCACATGAGATCAATGTTGTAAATGATGACAAATGGGTAGCTCCTTTGGTGGTCAATGGTGTTCTTATACCATTTAGACTAGATACAGGGGCCAATGCAAACATAATAAACCAAAGTGACTTGAAACAATTAAAATGCCCCCCTAGCATATTCAACAGAAATACGAAATTGTATGATTACAACAAACAGCCTATTGAAACATGTGGGGTATGTGTATTACAGGTTCAAGTAAAAGGCAAGTGTCACAGGGTCCACTTTGTCATTGTAAAAAACGGAATTTCGTTGCTTTGTGATAAAACATGTGACAAATTGGGCCTTGTGAAGCGTGTCTGGGTTGTCAATAACAATAGACCTGTTAAAGAGGTCAAAGAAATGAAAATGCCTAATGTGAAGAGTCCTGAGGAAAGTAACATGCATCACAATAGCAAATCACCTGCCACAAGGGTGGATAAATTGATAAATGATTATCCAAGTGCATTCAATTCAATTAGCAAGTTTGAGTCTATGCCTTTCACATACAAGATATCTTTGGAAGAAAATGCACAACCAGTTATTCATGCCCCAAGGCATGTATCAGTGCCTATGAGAGGTAAAGTGCACAGTGAACTTTCAAGACTTGAAACATTAGGCATCATAAGAAAGATTAATGACCCTACTGATTGGGTTAATAGCATGGTAGTTGTAAAGAAATCAAATGGTGATGTAAGATTATGTGTAGATCCTACAGATTTGAATAGGTCAATCAAAAGGGAACATTACCCAATACCAAAAAAGGATTTGATTATTAGTGAGATGAAAAATGCAAAGGTGTTTAGTAAGTTGGATGCTTCAAGTGGTTTTTTTCAAATTAAACTCCACCCTGAAAGTCAACCCCTCACAACCTTTAATAGTCCCTGGGGCAGGTACTGTTACCAACGTCTCCCACAAGGTATATCTAGTAGCCCAGAGGTGTTCCATAAGGCAATGGAACAGGTAGTTGATGGTCTAGACGGTGTACGAGTATATATCGATGATCTGATAATCTGGGGAGAAAATGCAACTGAGCATGACATGCGCTTAAAAATGGTCATGGAAAGGCTGGTCAAATTCAATGTCAAGTTAAATAAAGGAAAATGTCAAATTGGTGAATCAGAAATTACCTTTTTGGGAGAGAAACTAACTCAAAATGGAGTTCAACTTGATGAAGGTAGGATAGATACAATCACTAATTTAGAGAGTCCAAAAGACAAAACTGGACTTCAAAGAATATTTGGGGTGATTAATTACGCTGGAAAATTCATCCCTAATTTGTCTGCAAGAACTACTCACATGAGGAAGCTTTTAGAATCTCAAGTTATCTGGAAATGGGAAAGCAATCATGAGCAAGAGTTCCAAGACATAAAAAAGGTCATAAGTTCATCCCCAGTGTTAGCCTATTTTGACCCTCTAAGGAAAACAAGAGTTTCAACAGATTCCAGTAAGGACTCACTAGGGATGGTTCTTATGCAACAGCATGGTACTGATTGGAAGCCAGTGGCTTATGGTAGCAAATCCCTTACAGAATGTCAAAAAAGATGGGCCCAGATAGAAAAAGAATGTTTGGGATTAGTTGAAGGGTGCAACAAATTTCATGAATACGTATATGGGATGGATAAAATTGAACTTGAAACAGACCATAAGCCCTTGATACCAATATCCCAGAAAAATTTGAATGACATGACCCCAAGGTTACAAAGGTTGTTCATGAAACTGCAGAAATATGATTATACAATGATATACACCCCTGGAAAAAACTTGGTATTAGCAGACACCCTCAGTAGAGCAAGTTTCAGAACAAAAAGATCAGAACCAAGAATTTCAAAACTAGATATCCAGGTAGAAAATCAAGTGAACATGATATTTAGTGAAATACCTGTCTCAGAGAACATTATGAGAAAAATCCAAATAGAAACAAAGAAAGACCCCATATTATCCAAGATTATTGACTATGTAAGAAATGGTTGGGAAAAGGGGTCAGAGAAAATATACTCCCAAATGAAACATGAAATTACTGTAGTGGATGATATTCTTTTGAAAGGGCAAACAGTAATTATCCCAAAAAGCATGAGAAAGGAAATATTGAATAGGGTCCATGAAGGTCACTTGGGAGTAGAAAAGTGTAAGCGAATAGCTAGAAAATCAGTATACTGGCCAGGCATTAATAATGACATCTCAGACATGATAGGAAAGTGCGAAACATGTCTTGAGCTGAGGTACAACAATGCAAAACAGCCATTGATAAATGGTGACAAAACAAAAGGCCCCTGGGAAAAGGTTGCAATAGACCTTTTCAAGCTCTTTGATAAGGACTATCTTTTAGTGACCGATTATTTCTCAAACTACCCAGAATGTGTTCATCTGTCAAGTACAAAGGCAAAAACAATAATCAGTCACATAAAGTCAATATTTGCAAGATTCGGAATTCCCTTGAAAGTGAGAATTGATAATGCTACTATGTTTGAATCAAGAGAATTCAAGGAATTTGCAGACACCTATGAATTTGATTTGTCATTCAGTAGTCCTTTCCATAGCCAGGGTAACGGAAAGGCAGAAAATGGGGTCAAAATAGTAAAAAGGCTGATGAAAAAAGCAATTCGCAGCAATACTGACCCACATCTGGCCCTGTTAGCATACAGGAATGCCCCATTAGAGTGTGGTAAGTCACCAGCAGAGCTCTTAATGGGGAGACCATTAAGAACTCGATTACCATCTGCAATACAGGCCAATGATAGATTTACCAATATAGAGAAAAGTAAAGCCCTGCAGAAGGAGAAGCAGAAAAAATATTACGACAAAAACACGAAGCAACTTTCAGAGTTAGAAAACAATCAGACGGTTAGACTGAAAAGAAACCCGAAAGATAAATGGGATGTAAAAGCCAGAGTTGTCGCAAAAGTTTCCTCCAGATCTTACAAGGTAGAAACAGAAGGAGGGAAACTTTTTAGAAGGGATAGGAGAGAGCTCCTGTCATCAAAGGAGCCATTTAATGAGATAATGTGTCAAGACCTAGATATACAAACAAGACCTCCCACTCCTTGTCCCCCAAATTCCCATGAAACAAATCAATCAACCAACCCATCACCTGTTCCAACTAGTAACAGGTTCAGTCCCTTATTAAACATAGATGTGGAGCATCCAGCTGCTGAATTAAGGAGGTCTGGCAGAGTGTCAAAACCAGTTAACAGACTCTGTTATAATTAATCACTTTTGATCAGTTAACTGGTTATTTAGACACTTGATGTCATTAAGATACTTTGATAATTTCAAAGATACTTAAATCACATGGGATATAAAAAAAAATGAGAGTGTATCTAAAACATAAACTTTCGAAACTAGTGACTCCTATATTGTAACATAAAGCTTTCGAAATTAGTGACATCTATATTGCCTTTTTTATAATCATTCAAACTTTGAAACATTTTTCTGAGATACTTTGAGAAGGTTAAAGATACTAACTATATTGTATGAATAAAGGGTGATTATAGGATGCAGTTTAAATATCAACAATTTGTAGATTATTAGTGTGCTATGAATAGAATTAATGTACAATCATTCATAGATTATTGTTTAAGAAAAGTCTTTATTATGATTGATCATTTGTATTATTTTATATTCCTTTACATTCTTTAGAAAAAGGGAGATGTAATGATATCCAGTTTCTGGTATCATCTTGCTAACTGCCTTTGAGGTATTATGTTACTTGTACATGTGTGGGATTACAAATATACAACTTGGTCTTCTAAAGCTAGAACTTGTACTGTCCAACTGTCCAGATCATTACAGAATGTGAATTGGAGAATAAGTGGTAATCTTTTAAACAGCTTTGTAATAACTAACATATAGGCACAAATCACCCTTAAAGGAATATTCATTGCCAGACCCTTTCTCTCTTGATATGGTTGCTATAATCATATATATAGTTTCCATATTTAGCAAAACATGGGAAAATGTTTTAATATGGTCAATATTGATCATTTAAAATCTAGTGCTTATTTCCAGTGAGCTGCCATCTTTTAAGATTTCTTGCAGGAAGTGATGTCATCAACTTCTATAACCTTGCCCATAACAGTATAGGAAAGTAGCACAAAATCACTTCTAGACAAGTGATCATTACTTTCTGTGCAAAAATATTTTCAGGGCTTGTCAACTTAGAATAAAACAAGAGATTTTCAGAAGGATTAAATAAGATGCAAAGTTGAAAAAGAATATTTAGCTGGTTTTGTAATTCTTAATAGCTCCTCACCTAATGCTATATGCAAAGTTGAGAGTCGATGACATCACTTCCTTTGTGAAATTTTAAAAGATGGCAGCTTACTGGAATTGAGCATCACATTTCTAAGTGATCAAATTTGACCATATCAAAACATTTTTGCGTGTTTTGCTCAACATGGCAAGCATATATATGGTTATAGCTACCATATGAGGAGAGAGATGGTTTGGCAAGGAATATTCCTTTAAGACACCGAACGAAAATGAAACACCACGGCGCTCAAAAGTTGCAGCTCTTTTATATTTATTTGAATATTCTTTTTAAGTAATTGTTTACACAGAGGCCTATATAAATACTTAAGATAACGTTTTTTATTATTGCTCTTGTCTAATGTGTTGCTAATAATGTGCCAGAGTGCAGCGACATACATTAAAATGCCATTACTTGGTATAATTAATTAAATCCATTAAAATTATGTATCAATATAAACTGAAAACAACTCATTTTAAAAGGTTGATATCAAGGAATAGCATGGGACCAATTATTGTCAGTAAACAACTACCTTAATCTTATTGAGACTCACACGTAAATAAATTAGGCACATAATGTTGAAAAATATAAACTGATTTTTGTTAATATGTCAAAAGGAAATCAATAAATTGTTTCAGCGAAATCATAACTACGATTTAAATCTACAATTTTTAACTATTTATACCCATACCTACAATGATGTTCAAGGTACATAACATGCGGGGTACACCTAATCCCGCTTTCCGGATAATTCCTGTATCCATAATCGCCAAATACATGTATCCCTTATGGTTGAATCTGATCCCACATGACAGAATTTAACATTATTTTTTATAAAAAATCAATGGATCATTTCATAACTCTAGGTCTCACTAATAATACTCGAGTTATGTTGAAACAAACATAAATATAGTTTAGTCACCATATTGTTATGTCATCACCAAAAGTGGTGACATATTGTTATGGTCTCCGTTTTTGTGACGGCGGTTGGTGGATGGTGTTTGGCATCCGGCCAGCGTCTGTAATAACTTCCAATAACTTATCAATCACTGTTTAAACCATCTTCAATTTTCCAAAATCATCTACAAGTTTTTAGTAGTTCAAACGTATTTTCTTTTTGTTTCTAGTTACATGTTACAGAGTTGACAGAAGTTGTTATCCATTTTTTATATTAGTTTTTACTGGTTTTAGGTCTTATTTCATTTGTCAAAATTTTCCACAGTGATATTATCATAATTGTAACAATTATTTTTAAATGAATAAAAATCGCCCCAAATATTTTTATATGTTTTAACATCGCCTCTAGTTTCGTGTAATGTTCTGCATAGATCACACAATTTATTTCTTGTCGTGTCTTGTATGTATGTTTTCTTCCATGAGAAATATTCATTATATGCAGTATTGTTTTTGTCCAAGTATTTCAAATATTTCGCAAGTGATTCAGGATTTGGGAAATCGTTAGTGTGAATGTAGGAGCCTGGTGGTAGGATTGTCTTGAAATTGTTATAGAATCCACGCACTATCGGTATTATGTTCATCATGAAGGAGTTTCTCCAAACCTTCTCAGTGACGTAATCTCTACAGTCGGAGTTCTCGAACGCCAAGTAGAACTTGTAGGTTGCACCTGAAAAATAGTTTTTTTTGGTTAGGCATAGTACACATTGATATATTTTATAGTATCACTTGCATATGGTTACCAAAACTCTATTGCTCAAATGCACAAGCCAACAACGACTTAAGCTAAAATTAACTTTATACATATTATCAATCAAATTATATCATAATTATAACTGCTTGATATTGTTCAAGTTTGGGAATAGTCCTCCAAGAGTGGTTGAGAGTAAAATGGGTTTGTGTAATAATATCTGATAAATCAAAATACTATAACTGACTAAACTAGAAAAATGTCACAATATTCCGACGTAAATATTTTTAGATGTACATGATTAACTCACATGTCAGTTTAAATTGTGAAATACATTCAGATTCCTTATGCAGGGGTATATATTATCTTTTACAACAACAACAACAGCAACAACAACAACATTTAAAAGAACGTGTCAATTTGGGAAAGGGGGTTGAATGAACGTTTTCCCGATATATGAGCAAGGGCACGGAAAGGGGGTCTTATCACAGTTTTTTCTCCATATTTTGATATTTTGTTTATCTTGAAAAGCACAAAGAGACCTTTCAAATGAGCCATAGCTTATGTCAACATTTTTTCCTTGCAGATATAGACCAAAAAGACGGATTCGAATTAAGCACATTTCCTCTTAAACTTGGGCACATTTTTGTAATAAAACCGGTGTCAACATTTATATAGACCGTACTAAATATGGTCCCTTAGACTATGGAAAATATTGTCCAGGACTATATTATCTAGAATAACAAGGCCGATGGACAATATTTACTTAGATATTTTAGTCCGTTTGCTAGAACTGGGTGTCCGGGACGGACTTTATTTACCAAATTATGGTCTCTATCTCGTCACACCGGACCATATTTTCTGGTTATAAATGTCAATGGACATGGGACATGTTTATGAATGTAGTCTCTGTATAAATAATAAGGAGAAAAATAAGGATAAGTTGTCTCGGGGACAGAGGCAACCAGAAAATATAATCCGCTTGGACATGTTCATCAAGAAAATTAAGAATAAGTTGTCTCAGGGACAGACTTACCTAAAAATTATAGTCTCCTGTACGTGCATTGATATTAAAAAGAATCTCATCGAGGAGACGAATATGCCAGTGCACTTTAGTTCCATTTTATGCAGAATATGGTAAAGAAAAAAGGATAGAGTGGGAATTGAAAGCTCATAATCTTTGGAACTTAGCCAGAAAACGGAATTATCTACTTCCGTATATTCTCACAGCAGTCAAAGTTTTAGCCATGCCCGTCAATGACTCCAACCTTCTTTGCGATAGATGTGGCAATTTCTATAAGGATGCTATAAATCACATGCTCATCGAAGTAATGAGTACAATCACATGAGGAATAAACTCATTATTGACATTGCGTTACCCAACAACCATCCAGCGTTCGATCCAAGAGAAATTTGTGCTTCTGTATGCGGCTCTGCCTCGGAGTCATTTGAGATACATAATTTAGAGCTCATCCCGAGATACATTCATATAGTGATATCAGACTCAGGGATTAGTCTCGTACCCTTATTTGCATAAACTTGCAGAAGATCTTGTAATCTGAAATTTTTATATTACTTTTAAAGATTGTAATTATGTTGTCACCTTGTTTATGTTTATGTTTTATGTTTATTGTATTAATCTAACAATGTAATTAGTTTATATGAAATCCGATTTGAAATCGGGAATAAAAGATACATACATACTAACGGTGATTGGATGCAAGCAGAGATTTTTAATTCATTGATAAATATATATTACAGTACTACTATAGTACGACATCTATACATTTAGAAATAAAGAAAACAGCTAATACCAAAATCTAGCCGGACAATCCATTCGTTCACTGCTGTCAACGTATTTATAGTCCGTTCGTATATATAATCCTGGGTTATATTGTTTACCAATACAGAAGATATGGTCCAGTTAGGACCTGGGGTCCTAGAGTGTATGGTCCCCCGGACCATATATTCAGGGAGACTATATTTACTCTGACACCGGGTTTCCTTTGTCGAGGCTGATATTATATAGGCATCTTGATGTATTTCACATTTGATACTGCTTCCCAATAGCGGACAAAATTGAAAAATATGTTGCTTTATAGAAAAAATATCAGAGTTATGCTGTAAAGATATGTTAATAGTATCATGTCACTATATCTTGCAATTAAGATAAAAGAGAAATGATACACTTGACGCTGTTTTCAATAGCTTTTACTCCAAGCTGGACCTCAAACAAAAGTGACGGTTAACAAAAAATGATATACCCATTGCATGATTTAAAAAATAGATTGTAAAGTTTTCTTGTTTTTAAGAAAAAAACATAGTCCACCGTTACAACTTTTAATTCATACATGTAATTTTAGGTTACAAAACTTAAAAAATAAACACAAATATACGAGTAAACATAAAGTTATATACGAACCTACATGACGGTAACATGCGCGCTTGTTTTCCGGATGAGGACACTGGAGCCATCCACATCGGCCATATATATCAACAGGAATGTGCCCTCGTAATTTCTGTACATAGACCTCACGTCTACTATGCGTTCTACAATGAGATGCAATCCACGCTACCAGCTTAGTTTTACCTCGTGTGTAATCCGGTAGAACTTTTGGAGGATGCGGATGTACCTTAATACAAAATGATAAAAATGTTCGCAACAGATTTTCCTTACATTAATGCTACGTCCCGGAGTTGGTATGTATAATGATATTTAAAAATGGGGTTGGCACCTCCACTACTGTAATTGCATTTCGGACGTTTTACATTGATTTCACCCTAAAATTGTCTCTTGAAATCACCAGAGATATTGTCCATTAAACCATGACAATACTTTACTTAATAAACACTTACTTTATAAATACCGTGGTAGGAGTGAAAATCAGAGTCCAACCTGGTTGTCATGGTGAAATTGAATGCATCATTCAGTTCAGGGTGAACAAATAATTGTCTCTTAGGTGCCTCGTAGCATCTGAAAATCCATTTTTGGTATGGTGACCTGTACTCAGGAAGTCCCCCTGCTTCAACCAAGTCATTCATCCGACAGGTGTGGAACATGACAACCTGAGCTTGTTTTAATTGTGAACGATCCGTGATTGCCTCACAGTGAGGTACGTCACAGTCAATGAACGCGTCAGTCCCAAGGGGAAGACAATTCGAGGCAAAACACTTTGTCCAAAGTAATATTTTTATCACATCAACACTGTTTTGCAATTTTTTTTGTTTATTGAGCATAACACCAGGTTCATAAAGCACTTTTTTACCAGTCACGACTGCAGGGTTAAACCTCACATCTGCAGTAATAAACCTCACATCTGCAGTACTAAACCTCACATCTGTAGTACTAAAATTCACATCTGTAGTACTAAAATTCACATCTGCAGTTCTTTGATCCACCCCTGTAGAGATAAGATCCAAAACTGAACTAGCACTGTTGTTCCTGTTTACATAATATATCCATCTGTTTCCAATTCTATTATTATATATTGTCCAGTATTTTTTCCCATATTCACATGATTTGAAATCTGGAGGTTCACATCTTGGAATTAAATGTATTCGTCTTTGTTTATAACCAAATAAGGTAAAATTATAGAATATAACATAATAAAATGATCCTGTTAGAACAACACATAAGTAATACATATATGGTTTGATCATTTTGACCCAATTCTGATTAAAATTGAACACTAGCGAGCTACATGTTTGCTAATGGCTTACAGACATGCAGCTTCTGAATCTACATATATCGGAATATTGATTGGCAGTGTGCCAGCTTTTTAAGTAATTATTTCATACTTCACATCTTACTTAGTTCTAAATGACCAAAATGTCAATATTTCCACTTTTTGGAGTAATATCTCCTCTCTAGTAAAGTTTTACCTGGAAAAGATGTATAGATACGTGTACATGGAAATATACAAATATGAAAATGCTGACTATTTGCATGTATTAATTTTACAGTTTGCTACAAATTAAAATGGCATACCTTTGTGGACTCGTTAATGTGCTTTTACATCATCTAAATTACATTACCAACGATTTTTATGCATTCATCATTTTGTTGACTTTCACCATTTTTAGTCTTATTTTGATGGTCATCTTTGAAAAAACAGTCAAGGTTGGAAAAAGATGGTCAAATTATATATCATGGATAAGTATATCCAATATATAAGAGGAAATGAAAAATCAATAGTAATCAAATATAGTTAGTGCATCATAAAATCATTGTGTTCAGTACAAGATTTGGGCTAAATTAAACAATGTCAATATGCGCCAAGAGAAACCCGCAAAACAGCAAGTTTGCATGGTTGAGCTATCATACCTTCACATTTATGTGGACAGATCAAGGACCTTCAAATTCAACTTCATGGTGGCTCAGTATACTTAATGTACATGTACACCTCATATCTTCTGTATTATTTCATATTTGGTTTCCATCTCAATATATCGACATAATTTTTAAATTAAAATTACTTAGTTTCATGAGTTAAAACAAACTGCCACCCATTTGTTTTACTTCGGCAGTCTATGTAATGTATTATATAATTCAATTTATTAAATTGAATAAAGAAGACAAAATAAGTTAAAAAAAAGATCTAAAGGTACCAAATAAATTTATTTTTTATTGACATATGAACACAGTATAACTATTTTTAAAAGTGTTGCCAGTAAACTGCTAGATTTAAAGGGTGTGCCAAAAAATGTTGCAACTTTTTTAAAAGGCTAGAAAAGTATCATAACATTAAGGTATTGACATAAAATTGATTTACAGAAACTTTAGGAGATACATAGGGGTTATGCACTGGGAGGTTTTGGATACAGGGAATATCCCGAGGGATATACAATATATCTTCCCGAGGGACCGAAGGGACCGAGGGAAGATGTATTGTATATCCCAAGGGATATTCCATGTATCCAAACCGACCGTGCATAACTGGTGTATCTCATACTTGAGTGGGTTTAGGGTAGATATAACCTTTTCCACCTTTTTCAAATAACAAGATATTTATATTTAACCTTTTTGTAATATTCTTTTTGTTCAAAACAATGAAATTGTAACATTTAAACTTTAAAAAATTAAATTTTAAAATTAAAAAAATAAAACTTTTGATATTTAAACTTTTTTAAACTTTTGGAAAATTCCCGGGAGCGGGATGGATATATTATATCTGCCCGCATTTGGCCTGGAGCGGGACATATACAATATATCCTGCACGCTCCTCAGATACGATATATATTCCCTGGTGATATCTATCCCAAACCCACTCAAGTATGAGATACATAAGGGTTATGTACTGGGAGGTTTTGGATATGGGGTTTATCCAGAGGGAGATGTGCATATCTACCTGAGGGACCGTAGGGACCGAAGGTAGATGTGTATATCTCACGAGGGATGAACCCAATATCCAAATCGACCGTACATAACTGCTTTATCCTATACCAAGTAGAGTTTCAGGGGCATATGACCATTTCGATAGTACAAGGTGTAAAAATAAACAAATCATTCATATGCAAAGTCATTTTATTGCATTTCCACTACTTACCGGAAGCGGGAAGATATGCACCGAAGCGGGAGATATGGCGGGAGATATGGAGGTTCTGGATATGGAAACCTCAAAATCAGGATATGGGATATATCTTACCAACTTATCTCCCTAAAACTATACTTGGCGTAGGATAAACCGTAATATCATAAGATCAAATTTCGCATAATACGTGTCAGCAAGCGTCCATCATACAAATAACGTCATTTTCATTTCAAAACAAGTTTTAAGAAACAGATGTTAAATATGCCCTCCGTTTTAGTCAATTGTAGCCCTCAGTCTTGGCATAAACTGGTCAATAGCATCATTGATATGCTGTTGAGACAATGAATTCCACTTCTTAACAACCGTGGCCTTAAACTGAATAGATGTAACTAAAGGAGTTCATGAAATACCTATTTTGTTAATTCTCCCCATATACTCCTTTAAATATTTGACTGTCTTGTGGGATATATGGCTTAGTATTCCATCCTTTTAGAAAATGTAATGATCTGAATATGAGACCAGGAATAAGTTCTCTGTGTAGGACTACCCGATGCCTACGTCTGCGACTACCAGATATGGGGAGAACTGACCCTACTAAACGACGAGATGGACGTACTATGAACGAACCGTCGTACTTCAATCATGATAGGGACGTTTTTACAACGAGTTGAACTGTCTGAGGACGTATCGAGAATGATGTAGAACTAATATAATTGCAAACGGGGTTAAACGGATTAAGAACGCATTAAAGACTGCTTATATACTAGTTATCAAAATTATATCTATCACACCAAGTTGCCACTGCGTTCTTCAAAACTGGTTTTAAACTGTGTACGAACGGAATGAACTTAGCTGCAACTATCTAACCCTACTATCACACCAAACTAGTTTTCACTACGTTCTCGAAAACGGGCTTCAACTGTTTACGAACGGACTGGACGTATTTGGGGTATATTTACAAACGTCATCGAATGTGCTCGAACGGGTAGGTCTTCTAGAACTTAGAACATGCTCAAAATGTTCTCGTTGTCGATACGTTCTACAATTAGAACGAGAGACAACGTAGTTAACGACGAGCTGGACGTACTACGAACGGAACCGTCGTACTACAATCCTACTAGGGACGTTTTAACAACGAGTTGAACTGTCTGAGGACGTATTGAGAACGAGGTAGAACTAATTGTAAACGGGTTTAAACTGATTAAGAACGTATTTAAGACTGCTTATGAACGAGTTAGCAAAAATATAGCTATGACACCAAACAAGTTGCCACTGCGTTCTTCAAAACTGGTTTTAAACTGTGTGGTAACGGAATGAACGTAGCTGCAACTTTCTAAGGTCTATTTACGACATTCATGAACGGAAAGGTGATTTTAGAATTTTGAAATTATTCAAAATTCGATGGCGACCATACCGTTCTATAATCAGGTCATGATGACCTTCTAGACTAAGGGACGCGTTATACGACGTTGCACACCGACGTGGTGCGACCTGAACGAACTGCGAATGAGATGGACTTTTTGAAGACTGTTTAAGGTACGTTCACACCAACGGCGCTTTGATGGCACTTTAAAGCGGCTTGTAAAGCGGCACCAAAGCGTAACAAAGCTTAATTAAAGCGTCGGGGTCGTAATAGGTCGTAGAAAAGCTCGGGAGTAAAGCGGGATATTCGAGTCTCATTCGCAGTTCGTTCAGGTCGTTCAGGTCAAGACATATTTCCCGACCACAGCCAGATTGAGCCCGTTTTACGACGTTTTCTTATGACTGAAGAACGGGTAAGAACTAGTTTGGTGTGATAGGGGGGTAATATATATATACCAGCTTCATGAACATTCTCAGACGGGAAGGCGATTTTAAAATTTTTAAATGATTCAAAATTCGATGGCGACCATCCATACCGTTCTTTCATTAGATCGTGTGATAACATACTTCAAACGAGATGACCTACTAGACGAGGAATGTACTCCAACCCTCCGTTATACGCGTTATACAACCAATGATACTATCGACCAGTTTATACCAAGATTAAGGACTTTAATTGATCAAACTGGTGGACATATTAAACATATGTTTATGTTTTTGCAGGTTTTGAAACGGAAATGACATCATTTGTATCATGGACGCTGGTTGAAAGATAATTAAATTCACTATCCACTGGTATATAGTTATGACGTGCACGGACCTGGGGACAATTCGGGAAATACGGGGTAATCTCAGCTTTAAGCGTTAATATCTGCCTTATTTAAAAAGCTAACTATGTGCATTATATATCATTTTGAAGTATTTTTTATTCGCATTTCACTGAAATTATTTTTCCATGGAAAGTGTGATAGGATCTACCATAATTTTGAAGTTAAATGTACTCCGACATCGTCAAATACGCTGTAAGACGTAACATTTCACGCTTGCACGGTTCGTTGAAATCGGGATAACTTTTGTAATACTGATCAGAATTTTACTTAAATTTCACATTTTATTCATTGAAACATGTGCTTTTATGACGTCACAATTGCCTAGCGGCTACAGTTCAAATCGTCTTATATGAACGCTTTTAAGATTTTCAAAATTGTGTAAGGTTTTGAAGGCGAAGGAGACAAGCAATAAGTTTACCTTTATTTAACCTTCTAATTTAGGTCTGATTTCAAAAAAAATTTAACTGCACAATATTGTCATGGCGAAATTTACAAAACAATAACCGATTTCTTTATTTTTCAAATAATAAGAGAATAAGAGTTGCTTTTAGAGACTTGAAAAAATGTAACGCATCGATTTTTTACCACAAATCCCATACACATCAATTTTTACTAACGCCCCGAGTGGACTTCCTGACCGTTTTTCAAAAATTAAAAACATTTTAGAAATATTGTCCTCGAGATCTTGTTACTCTGTTAATTTTACCAGGATTGAATAAGAATAAAGCATCTTATTTTTATGTTGACTAAACTTGACAAAATGTAACGCTTGTCGTTTTTGACGTTATAATGCTGATTGCGCCCTATACTGCCCATTGTATTGTTTTGGTATTTTGACGCCATAATGTTACTCTAATTGTCCCCAGTTTCGTGCGACGTGTAAATATGTTTTTTAAAATCAAATCAATATTTATTTTTGAAATACGAGTGTCCCAATTTTGGACTACCCTATATATATGTACCCTCTGGTCCAAAAAATCTGTGCGTCTTCATGACTTTTTGGAATTTTTCCTCATTTTTGCTTATTCAGTGGATTGAATGATCGAAAGCCCGTCTTGTAATATTTCCAAAAATGCCCTATCAGGTCTTCCATGGCTATTTAACTGTAGCTGGCAACGTCCAACCACAACTTGCAACATTTTAACATTTTGTTTACATGAAGTTTTGCAATGCAAATAGTCCAATTTTTAGGCCTAGTCTGATAGTTTACAGGTAGAAATAGGTTGACTGACCTTATACAGATATTCAGCAGAAATGTCTTCTAGAATTTTGAGTTACAATAAAAAAAACTTGAAGTGCTATTAAAATATGGAGATACAACTAAGGTGTAAAAACGTTCGTTTTCTGATCTAGCTAAGGTGTATGGAATTAGTATGGATGCTAGTATGCCAGCGATTTTTAGTGCCAAAGCTACATCTGGCATTGCTAAGACGTAAGGGATATGGACGTCCTAAGTTGATACCGAGTAGTTCTCAAATTGAAAATACTCTGACTGGAACCATAAGGGCGAAAAGACTACTACTTGTCAATTTTGGCATCAAATGATGTCTAATACTTCTAACAATAATTTGGATTAGCAAGTTTAATTGATGTTTGATGTACTAAGTGAGATGAGAAACAATCCATTGAATTAGCAAAAATGATGAAAAGTTCCAAAAAGTCGCAGCAGTGATTTGTGGGGTCACAATGATTACTATCTCTAATTTTCTCAATATTCCATATATTTTATCCAAAGTTTGCACACATGTATGGTACATGTACGGCATCAAACCCTGAAAGTATGAAATTGTATGGTTTCCATTATCAAGAGTTATGATAATTGCATGGCCACGCACAGATTTTTTTTGACCAGAGGGTATATATATTTAGAATGGTTAAGTGATTTTTTTCCCATTTAGTTCCTTTAGTTTCATTGATCTCCGTCATATAGTTGTTTTAATATATTTAGTTTAGGCAAAGGATTGCACAAACTTAACATTACCATTTATTTTAATTTGTAACTTTATTTTTCTAAAGATCTCTGCATATATATAGCACTATTTCAGTCAGATATTTTTCACCATTAGTTTTGACTATCGGGGTCTGATACTTCATCATCCAAAGAAGTATGACGACACCCCATTTGTCATCACATTATTTACATTATAATTATGCCATTGTTAAAAAAAGTTAATAACACATACACGTTAACATTTTGATGTATATTATTTGGACTTATATTTCGATATACCTGAGATGTTCAAGAGACCTATAAACTTATAAATAAAATGAATAAAGTTATAGCTAATATGTCAAAGGTAATTAGATATGTAAACATGGTTTATTCAGGGCATTATTTTTAATTTTTTATTCATCCTGGGTAAATTAATTGTTTGTTATTATGGCAACTATTTCCTATCAAATGTGTCTGATATAACAGTTTTCTGATGGATTGATCAATCATCGTATGCTGCACATTCTGTGAACATTTCATTATAATATATTTGAAAAAACAGAACGATATTATGATAACTTTATGATCAATCCCCGTATGTCATCTTTGGCTAAAAACTTTAACGCGCCTGTTTACTTTATGGATCCTGACTATATGCCACTTTCTCCACTGGTGCAACTCAGGAACATTCATTCGTTTCAGTTATCGTGTATAGTTCGAAGCAATATTTTTTATGCTGCCATGTCTAATCTGCTAAGACCAATCCATCAAATCAGGCCACCTGTTTGTCTTAAATTCAAAGTGCAGTTTATTACACATGCTTACAAATATAAAAACATGAACATGATCAGGGCGATAACACACGACTCCGCCCATATAAGGGTGCGTCCAGAATTTACTCCCCATCCTGCTCCCACCTCTGCATAAAGGCGAATGGGGGCTCCCGTACCATTTTCGATTTTTATAGGCATTGCGAACACATTGGCCCCTTTAGCAGGTACTTCATCTAGATTTGCAGCCATCTCAACGCACCATTTACTAGAGGCTTGTAATATTGCCAGATGGGCTTCCCCAATGGCACTGTTTCCTGGATCACAGCTAACAGTATCTACGATTATGCCCTTGATATCTCTGTTATCAACTAGCCACGTGACAGCCTCGCCACTGAACCCAGGGTAGTGCAAGGAATTGGTTGTGGTCCCACCTAGAAAGGCACTTGAGTTGCCCCAGTATTTCCCCCAGCCCGAGTTCATTATTACAATAGCGCCCTTGGGGATTTCGGTGTTGTATTTCTCTTCCCAGGAAGTGACGTCATTGATATCAAGAGTTGCATCTGGGACCTTTGATGCCTTCTCCTTGATATCAATTACGACAGCAGGTCCGTAGAAATTATCGAATGGCATTTCATGTATCTTGATTCCATGTTGGTTAAAGTGGAAGGGCGCGTCAATATGCGTCGCAACGTGTTCTGATGTCTCAAAACTGTTCGAAGCCAAACTGAAAATGACATATTAAGTAGTAAGGTATACTACAATCGATCTTAAGCGTGCACTATACACTGTTTCTCATATACAGGGTGTCCAAAAAACAGGACCGTAAGAAAGTTGAATGACTCGGTCAATTTGGCATATTTTGCCTTGAAATTTTAAAATTATTTAGTTCATTCAATGTGAATTTTGTTTTGAAAGTTTGATGATAATCTGTTTATTGTGTAATAAACTACAGTACTTTACAAAACATGCTCAGAATGGGCACTTCTCCTCTCTATGCACAAACGAATCCTGCGAACAAAGTTGCTAATGACCCTGACCTATACACATTAATGTGGATGGCAAATATTGGGGTAGTTATTGCCCTCTTAAGATTGTTAGGGGCCTGTCAGTATACACATTGGCTTTGAGGAATCCTCAAAGATAAAAATTTGGGGAATTTAGATCTGGCAAATGAGCTGCCCATATGGTTTGCGTCTTGCAATTGATGAGCTGACCACCAAAGCATTACCTAAACCATTTCAGCATATCATTTGCAGTGTTGGAGTGGTATTGGCTCGTTGAAACCACTGCTTATCTCCTTAGGCGTCCCTTCTGCTGTTTAAATGACCTCCAAAACTTAGTGAACAACTTACTGGTCCTTGTTCATGGTGATAGCACGTCCCTAGTCACCATCGAACCAAAAAGGACTGATGATTCCATGTATCCTCATTGACACCCAGGCAGTGCATTGTTCAGAATGCAATGGATGCTGTAACACTTCAACAGGAGGATATAAGCCCCAGTAGCATTGTTCTTGGAACAAACTTGTCCATTCAGAAAGACATGTGTGTAGGAGGATCATCAACAACTTTGTTCGCCGGATTGAATTGTGCATAGAGAGGAGAGGTGCACATTTGGGGCATGTTTTATTCAACTTTCTTACGGTCCTGTTTTTTGGACACGCTGTATTTGGAATATTGGGTACTACATATACTAAAAGTTTGGTATTACATTTTCAACATAACAATTATGAGAAACAAATCAAAACCTGGAGAATATTTCATATAGATGTGCAACGTTTTATAGTGTCGCCCATTTTCTATTTTATTTATGTAAGCAAACATTAGAGCACGACAGGGTAAAAGCACGCCTAAACATCGACAACGTACAGTGACAAAATATACCGTTGTACAATTTCGATGTACTGTGACACTGATATAAAGCAAAAACTATGATGTAGGTGTGTGATGTAGGTTTTAAAAATTAATCTGAGGAAAACATAAAGGAATGTCATACTTGATTTCGTGTGTATTCAATTTGGAAGACTGTTAGCTTTCTGATTACGTTAAAGTCCCCATATAAAGTTTAAACCACTTTGGCTTATATTGTAGTCTTACCCACTGTTATCAAAGTGTGATATGTGAAACTTTTTTTTCAAATTTCAAAAAAGTGGTCTATGAAGGAATTTTCTTTACAAAATTGTGAATTTATTAAAAACTAACTTTTAGAGGTCACACATATCTTTTGATAAGCCACAGTTCATACCAATGCATAGCATACATCCTTGCATGTTTTTTTGCCGAAAAAATAAGAAAACCGATTCATAAATAAGCGAGAAATGAACTCATCAGCGCATGAAAATTGTTCAGAGAAAAAGCATTTCAAAATTTTAGTTTTCACAGAAACCAACGGTACAATAATACCTAAAACCTAACACATTCTTTCTTTTAACCTGGTAAGACAATCAAATTTCAATTTTTTTCAAAAAGTTTTTGCCACCTGAGTGAGTCATAATATCATCACTAATGTTGAAAAATATTTTTGATATGCTAAAACATTGAAGTGGCCCATTACATATGGCATTTAATTACTGAAATAGTGTGTCCTTTGTTCAATCTTTTCATTGGTGAAGAAAAATGTATGAAGAAATATTTGATGATTAAAAACCCATTTGGAAAAATTCGCAGTTAACCCTAATTAAGACAATGTATTTTAATAACACTACTGAGCAGGGGGTTCAGATTCATTAAAACTGAAAATGAACAATCACAGTATTACTTCAACTTGATTGAACTATTGAACCTCCACACTTTCCAATATTGCATAAACGGGATTTTGAAAAGTCATCTTCGACTAGTATAGCTAGTATAGATATCTTTATCAAGTTCTTATCATTATTAAAAATTCATAAAAGTGTATCTTATTACAGACGCCAAATGATCAAGAGGTTGAAGGCTAAAACCCCATGGTCACATATTTATTACCAAACCAATACTCCCTTTTATAAAATAAAATAACATCCAACAATATTAAAAATCACCTTTTCTTTAGAACATCTGTATTAGGGAACATTTTCGTTGAGCATGTTTCTCATTAAAACCTGGATTTTGAAATTGAATTATTGCAATGATTGTTAAATGTTTCATCTCGTGAATTTCAATTACAATGATGCCGTACTGTGGAGTTGACAACGTACACTTCTGATTTTTTAAAATGATACCCAATACATAATATTTATCAAATCTCCAATCATCCTTAATTGTGTAGTTTAGAGGAACATTTTCTCATAACATTAATCGACACTCTTAGGCGAAAGGGGAAAATGATCAGAGGAAATGTGAAAAACTCAACACTTTCCAACCGGAAATGTGCAAAACTCAACATTTCCCAACCGTTCAATTTTTGCGGGTAGATTAACTACGACAAAAATCGAAAATCTTTTAACGTAATCAGACAGTTAAATGTTACCCTTTGCATTCGTTTGACTTCACTTCTTAAAAGATAGCTTCGTCTTCACTCTTTCAAACTAAAATAAACCTGTGAACTCACTGCGCCAATCAGTGTTCGTCGGCCAAATTTGACCGACGTTCTATATATGGTCATTCCTTCTGACGTCATCGTTGAGCCCGGAATTGACCAATGACATGCGCATATTTAATTAGAACGCATTTGGCGTATGTTTCTTCAAGCTCGCTGATTGGTGGAAGAAAGGTCAGCGCGTAGGTCAAAAGTGATTTATTACCCAAACTGTCACCGGTAAACGTCGTGGGGGCGGGGCTACGAAACTGTTATATGGTCTCTACTAGGCAGAGTGTAGTTTAACTAGACTCTGCACGCAGGGTAATTAAATGTCTTCAAAAGTGAATGCATACGAAGTTAAACCTGAAATCTTTCAAGTATTCCCAAGAATAATTGTTTAACCTAAATCATACCTGCATCATAGTTTTTGCTTCAAATCACTTAATAGTGACACCATACATGTACAGTGTACGACAATATATTTTGTCACTGTACGTTGTCGATGGTTAGGCGTGATTAGGTTTAACGATGATAATTACACAGAGGTTTTGGATTTTGAAAAAATAGTTAATCCTATTTCTGCTCTTAAACTATTAGAATGACATCATGCCTGAAACGATTGATGTAAAGCTTTGGATATTTTGCCTTAAGAATAAATAATATCAAGTATTTTGACGTTTGCTTATACCCTACGTGGAGAAAAACATTTACTTACAAATTCACTGAAGCAAAAGGTCCTCTTATATCAACTTTGAGTGTAAACTTTGTGTGGCTCGGCCACCTCATGACATCAGAGTTGATGTTGTATGTCAAGTCTATATATCTCCCCTGAGCGACGACCATCACTGAAGAGATTAGTACAGCAGTACGGTAAATCACATTGTTATCTACGATAGCCATTTTAACTATCAAGGCGGCTACACACAGACTTGTTATTACAGAAGCAGATCTAGGTTAAACTGAGTTATATTTTTGAGGCTGGCACGTTGGTTAAGTGGATGAGCCTTGGTTTAAGAACCAATCGTATCTTCTGGTATGCAACCCTCAGAGAAACTAATGATAATAGTTACCTGATTAAGCATTGGTTTGGGGATGATCCTGAGGATTTTTTGGATAAAAATAGAGCATCCCTCGTAATGAATGAGCCAAAGTTCAAATTTAATCATTTCTTCCGAACAGTTTCAGCCTTTTAGATGTTAATTATATATGGCGACAGGGCACATCAACAATAAGAAAACACCCAAGAGTACACCAGTCATAAGGAAAACAAACCCCATCTATTCGGAAAAATGAGCACACTATGTAGACTGTGTGCTATACGAAGCGATGCGGGTGATATTTCACAGTAAAACATGTCGGTTGCTCAATAATGCAGATGCGAGTAGGTAGTTACCAGTTTCACCACCAGGTGGCTCGTTCGGGTCAGATAGCATGGCGGGTATAGTAGAAAGTTCCCTTTAACTTAAATTGCATCTGTTTTAGTGGTTCAATTTTCATATAACCCTTATGTATCTGATAGTTATGTAAATAAAAATATGTCCAGTAAATGAAAATGTTATCTGACCAATACAAGAAAAGATATTTCACTTTTTGTGATTTTGTAACAAAGGCTCTATGGAGAATCAACCCGAACTAGAAGTCACACTTTCAAAAATAATTAAATTTTCAAACTTGATAAACAATTTTCGAAACCATATTTCTAGATGTACTTTTACATGTAGATTTTAAATATATCATCGCTTTGACTGAATTTTGAATATTTAATGGCGTAAATCAAGATTTTTCTACTCGCATCTAGTCTATTATACCCATAGATGTGTACACGGGATCCCTGATAAGGGAAATGTGTCAATAGGCCACGGTGTGTATTTCATTCTATACGGACACATCAAGCAATAATATACTTTACAAGCAAAAAATTGAAATTGCTGCTGTTAAACAGTTTAAACAGCATTTATTCAATATCGGTGATCCTGATGACCTATCAATACAAATTATATTTGCAATTTGAAAGTCAAAGGGTTTCCTTGCAATTTTACACAAAATGGGAAATATTGATCGAAAATAAGGGGTGTAAAGTAACGGATATCCATACCGCTTGTTGGAATAAGCACATATCCGATACATGTTTTAATTTCTTTTTAAAAATTCACACATGAAGTTCATGACTTCAAAAATCATCTCGATCGCCAATACTGAATGGAGACTGTAAAGGTTGTATTGAAGCGGGGGTTTTAAATTCGTTGCTTTGGAGAAAGGATGGATTCTTAGTGCATTGTTACAGAATGAAATACATATATAGAGACAAAATTTCCCTTTTATTAGGAATCTTCTACAATTGGGTGAATATAATTGAGTACTCGACATGTCTTAGTTTATGAAATATCACAAATTCAAATTCAAAATTAACCGCTATACGAAAACAAGGACGGTGCGCACATGATATCCGCACAGCTTGCAAAGTCTCCATAGGGTGTATCTACGTGGAAATAAATGGTTCTTCCCTCACAAGCGATCATTTCGCCAGCCTTGCAGTTGGGTTATATAAATCAAAATGAGAAGTACAATCTACACTGAAAAAAGTTGTAAGCATGTTTAGCTCATACATGTACTTCAACATTTGATTTCTTCAGCATCGGGTTTTAATTATTCAATTTTTTAATTCAACTGTTATACCAGTATGCCATCTGCTACTTTGTTTCAAAGTCTGCTACTTCAATACTTTATTTGCCACCTTGGTCAAAGGTCAAATCTTCATGAAGCATGGAATATGTAAGAAATAGCCCAGATCTCAACTGCGTTGAACATACGGGTTCAAATATGAAAGAAAGGGTAGAGGAATTAGTGAGAGAGCCTCTTGAAAAGAGATACAGTAATGATGTATTATTAAAGAATGTTAAGAAAGTGCTAAAAGGATTATGCAATTCTAGCACGCGTGACTGACTACACCTTTTTAATCTTTAATTTTAATCATATCTATCGGGACTATATCACGCATCGGCGGATGTACAATTATCGCTAACCGAAGCACAACTTGACCTTTGGATCTCTTGCTGGACTAGATGCTGTTGAGCAGCAAGTGGTTACCATGCTAACTATTAACAATTAGCTGTATGTCTGCTGAATCATATGATACAAAATTGAAATATCACGGGTAACTGCAGAATCAAATTGTCTTTGCAATGGGATATGACATATCATTTAAAATTAAGTACTTATATCTGTAGAGGGGGTTGCTGTTGCTTTAGACACCCTGTATGCGTTACGTACATGTACACTCCCCTCCATAAGTTTGGCAACCTTTCCCCCCATTGAACAACGTGTTAAAGCCTCTGTACGTTTGAATTTTTATTTACTTAACCGGCTATGGAATAACTTATGATATTGATGAAAACGTAACTTGACTTTATTTCCAATACCTCCAAATTTTCTCATTTTTTCCTCAATTACAATAGGTCGAAAATTGATGATAAATTTGATGAATTTTTGAAAATCGTCATTCCCATGTAATCCAATGGGAAATGGAGGGTTCGGGGCAAATCAGAAATCAGGATATCTTTTTCAGTAAAAGATTCAGCAAAAAAATTTTTATATAGAAAATTGAATTGTCTAACTTTTTTGAACACTAAGTGTTTAGTTTATTTGACGTATATTAAAGTTACAGCGCTTCAAAGTCATTTTTGGAAATAATTTTTCGCCTCCTGTATTATTTCAATGGGAGAGGTTTTTTGAAAAACAATTCTGACTTTAAAGCCCTATAACTTTGTTGAACCTGAAGAAACATATCAATTTTTTGTTATATAAAGTTAGCAAATTCAATTGCCTGCCCAACTCGTATTTTTTGCAAGGACTCGGATAGATGGATATTCTGTCATATGACTTGCGGCAAACCTACCATTTCCCATTGGTTAACATGGGAATGTCGATTTTCAAAAATTCATCGTCAATTTTCGACCTATTGTAATTGAGGATGAAAAAATTTAGAAAATTTGGAGGTATTGGAATTAAAGTCAAATTACGTTTCCATCAATAGTATAAGTATTTTCATCGCAGGTTAAAGGCAGAATCAGATCTATGGGGGTGGTAAAATTACAAGCAACATATACAATTGACCTACCAATCTATTCCTTACAATCTCAAATACAAAATCCACAACAAGATCTTCGATATATTATAAATTGGTGAAGTTATGATGGATTAAAAGTGCAAAATGGGTGAAAAATGTTTGAATTCTCCCAAATAATAAGATAACCATTCTTATAGAAAAATAATACATTATTGTAAAAATCTTTAGTTTTCCTGAAATAAAGTGTGTACTTTGGAGATTTATAGAAAATAGACAAGAAAAGGAATGACACAAGCCAGAAATATTCTAAAATTGAAACAATTTTTTGTTTGGCTGCTCGCTATATCTGATTCTCTCTTTAAGTAAATAAAAAATTTCAAAGGTAAAGAGGCTTTAACACGTAGTTCAATGGGGGAAAAGGTTGCCAAACTTATGGAGGGGAGTGTATGTTTGTAAGTAAAGTGTAAGTTAGGGATTAAAATCATGTTTCGATACATCTATATATATTCATTTGTAAACTACCTTCTATGAATCCTGCACGAATACTGAAGGCTGGATTCATTTGTAAAGTATCCTATATATGAACCCTGCTTGAATCCTGGCTACGGGATTCATTTGTAAACATTACCTTCTGTATATGAATCATGCACGAATCCTGAAGGCTGGTTTCATTTGTCACTACCTTCCAAATGAATCCTGCATGATTCCCAAAAGATATGATTAATTTGTAAAGAGCGAATCCTGTATGAATCCTGGATGCAGATATCATACGTTTAGGAACAAATAATTCAGAAAACGACAGAACCGACCTGACTGCTCTAAACGGACCCGGATTAATCATATACCCGTATGGCCTCGGATTTTGTAAACATGATAATACCATTTCATTGACCTTATTTCACACACTGCCAATGAGAGTATATCATTAAAAGACACTTGCAGATATTAAGTAAATTATTAAACAATAACCACTGGTATTTCAAACAAGGCACACAAAAACATTAGTTTTAGCACATTAGCACATACAACACTGACGGAATGGATCGCAGAATCACGGGAGTACACGCGGCAAACGGTAAGTTTAGGTTACCAACTCATCTTTTCCTGCAACTAGAATATATTATATACACATAGCTTGGCATGATACTTGTAGCTCACATTCTTGGCAATTAGAACAGATACTATCCCTTCTATATTTTTTATATAGATGAATGGTTAATAAATGGATACTTGTGGAAATGGGACACCTTTGATCTTGTGTGAAAACTCCAACTAGTATTGACATTTTCTGGTGCTGGTATTCAAATGAAGTCGGTAATTATGCAGGTCAAAATGTTGATCTTGTGAAAAACATTACAAAACGTTTTTGGTTTAATTTTATTTTTTAATGATATTGTGCAATTTCTTTAGATATACACGGGAAGAACTTATGCTACTCATGGTCGATTAATTTTACTAGCATATCTTGCATGCTAGTCATATTAAAGTCGTGTTGTCATTGTCAACCTTCTTCAAATTATCGTACATAAGCCGCCTCTTGCTTAATGAGTGGCTTCACGAAAAACTAAGCAGCACTTACAGAAATCATATAGCCATGGACTACAACCCTTTATGCTAATTCCAGTGGGTCATTTTCTAAAGAAATAGTTGAATATGTTTTTTTGCTGTACTGTACCTTTCCCACTTGAACAACATTGTGATTTTCAACAACTTACTATTTTATGCTAGTTACGTTTATTCACCAAAATGAACACCATTTACTTTAAATTGCCTTATTGAAAATGTGTTTTTATAAACTTTATTCAGTATATATCAAACACAGTGCACAGTACAGTGAAACATTCATGTTGTACCTTTCAGATATACCATACTGGAGATCATATCGCCTATCGCTTGCGATCATCAGTTTCATCGGCTTCATCTTTGTGTATGTTGTCCGAACCAACTTTTCCATCGCTATGGTATGCATGGTCAAACGCCCATTTAGGAACTCTACGAGTGCAATGAACGAAACAAAACTAAAAATAGGAAATAACACACGTTTTACAGAAATCGACATTGAAGATGAAGCATGTAGCCTTGTAGCACAAATCAACGATTATACGGTATGATATGTAAAGTGATTGGTGATAAATTACTCTCAGAATTGAAAATATGGGATTAAAGTCCCGGGACAAAAATTGAAAAATTTGGTGGCCTTTTGACAAAACACAACCAGATAATGAACGGAGTTATTGATATGATTTGTAGCATGGGGAGTTTGAATGGGATCGACGGCTGCAGGGATTGTTGCTCAGTTCATTTTTCTATGGATATGTCGTGACGCAACTTCCGGCTGGCATAATGGCTGACAAATTTGGCGGGAAAAGAGTGTTTGGTTTTGGAATGCTCGTTACAGTGGTTGCAATGGTGCTCATTCCTATCGGCGCACGGTTCCACATCTCTATAGTATTCATCTGCCGAGTGCTAATGGGACTTGGTACAGTATGTTCGATTGTGTGATGATATGATTTTTTATCTTTACCTTGAATAACTTGTAGATATGTAATCCCAAAACCTCCTATTTTCTGGGGTATTTTCAAAGACACCTTTTAACATTTTCACGAGACGGTTGTCTGAATGTTTTGTTACTGATTACCACCAGGGCGTAGTATTTCCTGCTATGCACTCGATGTGGGGGAAGTGGGCGCCACCATTAGAGCGAAGTAAATTAATGACATTTTGTTATTCTGGTAAGTTTCAATACGTATAAATATACACATCTTAGCATGAATTCAGGGTTCTGAGGGAAATGCTTTTGGTGAAGGGGTATACGTATTTCGTATTATTTTCGTATTATTTCTATTTTCGTATTATTTCGTATAATGTACTATGATTTAAATTTTAGGTGTTAATATAGGAACAGTTCTTTCCCTGACAGTTTCTGGTTTACTGTGTCACACAGGAATAGATGGAGGATGGCCATCCATCTTCTATGTGTCTGGTATACTATTTTGACTTTCAGATTTCCATATTTTAAGGCAATATCAGATCTATGGGGGTGGTAAAATTACAAGCAACATATACGATTGACCTACCAATCTATTCCTTACAATCTCAAATACAAAATCTCCAAAAAGATCTTCGATATATTATAAATTGGTGAAGCAATGATGGATTAAAAGTGCAAAAATGGGTGAAAATGTTTAAATTCTCCCAAATACTGTATAAGTGGTAGTTTTGCCTAATCATTTAATTAGATTAACGAAGCTGAGAGTTAAAAAATAAATTGTAAAGTTTTCTTGTTTTTAATAACGTCATTTTCATTTCAAAACAAGTTTTAAGAAACAGATGTTAAATATGCCCTCCGTTTTAGTCAATTGTAGCCCTAAATATTTGACTGTCTTGTGGGATATATGGCTTAGAATTCCATTCTGTTAGAAAATGTAATGATCTGAATATGAGACCAGGAATAAGTTCTCTGTGTTGGGCATATTAATTCATTTCACTTAATCACTGGTCCCCGAGATCACCCGATTCCTACGTCTGTGACAACCAGATATGGGGAGAACTAACCCTACAATTACACCAAACTAGTTTTCACTACGTATACGTTCTCGAAAACGGGCTTCAACTGTGTACGAAAGAACTGGACGTACTAAGAACCGTTTGGGGTCTATTTACAAACGTCATCGAACGCACTTGAACGGGTAGGTCCTCTAGAATTTAGAACATGTTCAAAATGTTCTCGTGGTCGTCACGTTCTACAATAAGAACGAGTGGTAACGTACTAACGACGTACTATGGACGGAATCGTCCTACTTCAATCCTACTAGGGACGATTTTACAACGAGTTGAACTGTCTGAGGACGTATTGAGAACGAGGTAGAACAAATTGCAAACGGGTATAAACTGATTAAGAACGTATTAAAGACTGCTTATGGACGAGTTAGCAAAAATATAGCTATCACACCAAACAAGTTGCCACTGCGTTCTTCAAAACTGGTTTTAAACTGTGTGCGAACGAAATGAACGTAGCTGCAACTTTCTAAGGACTATTTACGAATTTCATGAACGTTCTCAAACGGGAAGGTGATTTTAGAATTTTGAAATGACTCAAAATTCGATGGCGACTATACCGTTCTGTAATCAGGTCATGATGACCTTCTAGATTAAGGACGGGTAATACGACGTTGCACAACGACGCGATGCGATCTGAACGAACTGCGAATGAGATGGACGTATTGAAAACTGTTTATGGACGAAGTAGCTAATTATTTTAGACATTATTTCCCGACCAAAGCCAGATTGAGCCCGTTTTACGACGTTTTCGTAGGACTGGCAAGAACGGGTAAGAACTAGTTTGGTGTGATAGGGGGGTTACACAGATATTCAACAGAAATGTCTTCTAGAATTTTGAGTTACAATAAAAAAAAAAATCAAAAAAAAAACTTACAACTAAGGTGTCCAAACGTCTAGCTAAGGTGTACTGAATGCCGGAATTTCTGCGCACTTTATTTTAATTAACTTTGCACAACGCGGCCCCTGTAATTCATTCAGTGTGCGATGAAATCTATCTGACTGGGCCGCAGTGTGTGATATCACTCCAATGTTAAAACTCCATTGGATTTTGAATTATGCGCATGTCCCCTATCGCTTTCCGTAAGTGCGCCATGAAAAAATGATTATCTGTGAATAAATAACGAATAAAAATTCGTTGCACCACGAATTTGATTTTTTTCGAAAGACTGCGGAGTGAACCAGCGAAATGACAATTTTGGATAATATTGATGGCTCTAACGAGGAGAACTTTAAGATTTCCCGATTCTAGCGCGCAGCACATCCAGGACATGCGCACTTTTATCAGATTCGATTCTAATAAGGTTTCAAAGATAATGTTCATTAAAAGAGGGCGTATGCATACAGATTACACGTGGCGTTATGTTGAATTGACGCTTGCAAAGGGTTCCATTGAAAATATATTATTTTGGGCCATTTCATATCTTTTAAGTGATATTGTATAAAACATTTTCAATGTTTAAAAATTACAATCTTATAAATAACATTTTATGTAATAAAACTGTAACTAGAATGGTAAATACGGAATATGATGCAATACAATGCAGTGCAATATGATGTAATACAATGCAGTGCAATATGATGCAATACAATGTGGTGCAATATGATGTAATACAATGCGGTGCAATATGATGCAATACAATGCAGAGCAATATGATGCAATACAATGCAGTGCAATATGATGCAATACAATGTAGTGTAATATGATGCAATACAAAGCAGTGTAATATGATGCAAAAAATGCAGTGCAATATGATACAATACAATGTAGTGCAATATAATACAATAAAATGCACTGCAATGCAATACAATGCAAAACAATGTCGTTCAGTGCAATACAATGTAGTTCATTTCAATATAATGCAGTGCAATACAATGTGGTACAGTGCAATACAATGCAGTGCAATACAATACATCGCAATTCAATACAGTGCAATACAATGTAGCGCAATGCAGTGCAATAAAATTAAATACAGTTACAATGTAGTTCATTTCAATACAATGCAGTGCAATACAATGTGGTACAGTGCAATACAATGCAGTGCAATACAATACATCGCAGTTCAATACAGTGCAGTGCAATACAATACAGTGCAATACAATACATCGCAGTTCAGTGCAGTACAATACAATACAGTGCAATACAATACATCGCAGTTCAATACAGTGCAATACAATGTAGTGCAATACAGTGCAATAAAATACAATACAGTGCAATTCAATAAAATGCAATACAATACAGTGCAATACAATACAATACTGTGCAATAAAATACAGTACACTGCAGTACAATACAATGCAGTGCAATAAAATACAATGCAGTGTAATAAAATGCAGTGTAATTCAAGACAAAGCAATACAATACTGTGCAATACAATATAGTGCAATATAATACAATGCAGTGCAATATATTGCAGTGAAATACAAAACAATGCAGTGTAATACAATGCAGTGCAACACAATGTGGTACAGTGCAATACATTATAATGCAGGTAATACAATACAATGCAGCGCAATACTATGTAGTACACTGCAGTACAATACAATGTAGTGCAATAAAGTACAATGCAGTGCAATATATTATAATACAGTGCAATACAGTACAATATAATGCAATAGAATACAATGCAGTGCAATACAATACAATGCAGTGTAATACAATAAAATGCAGTACAACACAACACAATACAATGCAATGAAATGCAATTCAATGCTATGAATGTACACTTTCTACAGTCAAATAAACACAGATAAAATTGTAATAGTATGTTAGTGTATGGAGTTTGAAGTGGGTGGGGGATACAATTACCAGTCTGCTGATTGATGACTTAATAACTTAGAAAATATCTCCTAGCTTTTAACAGGTGGCACTTATGTCTACCTTACGTTCTTAAACAATCTCGTCTAAGAATACAGACCCGTATCCTGGATTAACCTGGGGGGAGTGGTTTTACCAAGGGGGAGATTTTGCCAAGAGGGGGGAGCGTTTTGGCAAAAAAATCATGCGAAAAGTGCTAAGAATGGTGAAAAACTGCATGATTTTGAACGAATATTTGGCAAGGGGGAGGGGGGTGAGGCCCCCTGGCTACGGCCCTGGAATACATATAGGAACTTTCCTTCTCCCAGAAGAAATGGTATACAGGTATTACATCAATCATTCTTGTATTTTGTATACGAAGGTCTGTAGTACACACTTTATTGAAAGATGGCAGTGTACACTGTGTACTACCATTTTGAGGTCAGTTTGACTTCATAATTCTGCGCACTATAATCTGTAATTCTCATTGATATCCTCTCTAGAGGCATCACTGTGATCCAAAATTACAATTTCGCAGGTCAAGTCTGCAGTCTTTCGAAAAAAGTTGAATTCGTTGTGCTACCCTTTCTTGTTGGGCATTTATTAACAGAAAACTATATTTACATCGCGCCAGCATATACAAGCTTCAGCGCGATATTTTGAGTGTGTTAATATTCTGGCTAAATAAATAAAGTGCGCAGAAATCGATCTTACTGGGCCGCGGTGTGTGATATCACTCATAAACAATTTTTAATCGCGCACTGAATGAATTACAGGGGCGCGTTGTGCAAAGTGAATTAAATATATAAAGTGCGTAGAAATATATCTGACTGGGCCGCGGTGTGTGATATCACTCCCATGTTAAAACTCCATTGAATTTAAAATTCTGCGGTATATCCCCTTTCGCTTTCCTTAGGGTTATAGATAGATTAAACCAACAGCATTGAATTTTTTGTTTTACTTTATACCCTTTTATATTAAAATATTGTCAGCCCAATACGATTGAAAGATAATCGTATTGCATGTATTGTATTTTCAAATGGTACCCTTTTAAATTAAGTTAAATTAAATACTCTGAATGGAGATGGTCTGAAAAGCTTAAAAACGTATAACTGTTAAATATAAATATGTAATAATATTATTGAATATTCAATGTATATGGATTTGATATGTATGTATATTATGTATAATGTTTTGTGTAAGTAAGATGCAATAAAAAAAAAGAAAAAAAAGAACTAGTTTGGTGTGATAGGGGGGTTACACAGATATTCAACAGAAATGTCTTCTAGAATTTTGAGTTACAATAAAAAAAAACTTACAACTAAGGTGTCCAAACGTCTAGCTAAGGTGTATGGAATTAGAAAGGATACTAGTATGACAGCGATTCTTTGTGCCTAATTTACATTTGGTATTGCTATGTTGATCCCGAGTAGTTTTCAAATTGAAATGACTTTGACTGGAACCATAAGGGCGAAGACAAGACTACTACTTGTCAATTTTGGCACCAGTGATTTGTGGGTCACTATGATTACTGATCTCTAATTTTCTCAATATTCCATAAATTTTATCCAAATGGACACATGTTTTGTACATGTAAGGCATCAGACCCTGAACGAATGAAATTGTATGGTTTCCATTACCAAAAGTTATGATAGTTGCATGGCCACGCATAGATTTTTTGGACCAGAGGGTATATATCATTGAAATGGTAAAGTGATTTTTTGCCCATTTAGTCCCTTTAGTTTTTTTTATTGATCTCAATCATGTAGTTGTTTTAATTAATATTTAGTTTAGGCAAAGGATTGCACAAACATAACATTACCATATATTTTTGTAACTTTATTTTTCTAAAGATCTCTGCACATATATAAAGCACTATTTCAGTCAGATATTTTTCACCATTAGTTTTGACTATCGGGGTCTGATACTTCATCCAAAGAAGTATGACGACACCCCATTTGTCATCACATTATTTATTTATTTATTTATTACAATTTTGTCATCGTAAAAAAGTTAATGACACATACACGTTAACATTTTGATGTGTATTATTTGGACTTATATCTCGATATACATGTGAACATTTCATTATAATATATTGGAAAAAACAGAACGATATTATGATAACTTTATGATCAATCCCCGTATGTCATCTTTGGCTAAAAACTTTAACGCGCCTGTTTGCTTTATGGATCTTGAATATATGACCCTTTCTCCACTGGTGTAACTCAGTTATTCAGTTATCGTTGTATAGTTCGAAGCAACATTATTTATGCTGCCATGTCTAGTCTGCTAAGACTAATCCATCAAATCAGGCCACCAAAATAGCCCAAAGTTTTTGCCAGGTGAACCAAATTGGTTAGGCTTGATAGGAAATGTTTATTACACATGCTTACAAATATAAAAACATGGACAAGATCAAAGCGACTACATACGACTCTGCCCATATGAGAGTGCATCCAGAATTCACTCCCCATCCTGCTCCTACCTCTGCATAAAGGCGAATGGGGGCTCCCGTACCATCTTCGATTTTTATAGGCATTGCGAACACATTGGCCCCTTTTGCAGGTACTTCATCGAGATTTGCGGCCATTTCAACGCACCATTTACTGGAGGCTTGTAATATCGCCAGATGGGCTTCCCCCATGGCACTGTTTCCTGGATCACAGCTAATAGTATCTACGATTATGCCCTTGATATCTCTGTTATCAACTAGCCATGTGACAGCCTCGCCACTGAACCCAGGGAAGTGCAAGGAATTGGTTGTGGTCCCACCTAGAAAGGCACTTGAGTTGCCCCAGTATTTTCCCCAGCCCGAGTTCATTATTACAATAGCGCCCTTGGGGATTTCGGTGTTGTATTTCTCTTCCCAGGAAGTGACATCACTGATATCGAGAGTTGCATCCGGGACCTTTGACGACTTCTCCTTGATATCAATTACAACAGCAGGTCCATAGAAATTATCGAATGGCATTTCGTGTATCTTGATTCCATTTTGGTTAATGTGGAAGGGTGCGTCAATATGCGTCGCAACGTGTTCTGATGTCTCAAAACTGTTCGACGCCAAACTGAAAATGATATATTAAGTAGTAAAGTATACTACAAATCGTTTTTTGAGCGTGCACTTATACACTATTTCTCATATATTTTGAATATTGGGTACTACATGTTCTAAAAATGTTTAAATAACATTTTCAACATAACAACTGTAAAAAGCAAATCAATACCTGGACATGGAATATTTCATATACATGTGCAACGGTTTATAGTGTCACTCATATTCTATTTTATTTATGCAGGACAGGTATGATAGTCCCTGATCTCATTTCCAAAAGGGCTCTAGTAAAGGAGTTGGTTGTCCGGTACTTTCCCAAATAAAATGATTGTATCGTTTGAAAGACCAGGCTTTCCTCTTAAAGAAAACACCTCTTAAATTGATAGAAACAGGGGCAAAAGGCACCAAAATGGGGTTAGACAAGGTGGCATTCTGAAGTCTCATTTTCTTGTCATCACGATTCCAGGAAAACCACTAGATGGATTTACTTCAAATTTTTACACATGTTACATGGTAAGAAGTTCTAGAGCTGATTAACTTTCCTGCGGCCACCTTGCATTTTGGCGGCCATCTTGGATTTTTTTTTAGATAAATATTGTTATCGCGATTCCAGAAAAACAACTAAGCAGATGTACTTCAAATTTTCATACATGTTATATGGTAAAGAGTCATAGACCTCATTATATTTGTCAGTGGCCATCTTGCATTCTGGCGGCCATCTTGGAAGTTTTTAGATAAATCTTGTCATCAAGATTTCGGGAAAACCAAACGGATTTACTTCAAATTTCCACATAAACTACATGGTAAGAAAATCTAGAGATGATTAACTTTTCGGCGGCCATCTTGCATTCTGGTGGCCATCTTGGAAGTTTTTGGATAAATCTTGTCATCGTGATTCCAGGAAAACCACATAACAGATTTACTTCAAATTTTCACACATGTTACATGGTGTGAAGTTCTAGAGCTGATTAACTTTTCAGTGGCCATCTTGCATTCTGGCGGCCAACTTGGAAGTTTTTAGATAAATCTTGTCATCGTGATTCCAGGAAAACCACTTGACAGTTTTACTTCAAATTTTCACACACGTTACATGGTAAAGAGTTATAGAGCTGATTAACTTTCCGGTAGCCATCTTGCATTCTGGCGGCCATCTTGGAAGTTTCTAGATAAATCTTGTCATTGTGATTCCAGAAAAAACACTTAACAGATCTGCTTCAAATGTTTACACATGTTACATGATAAGAAGTTCTACAGCTAATCAACTTTTCGGTGGCCATTTTGCATTCTAGCAGCCATCTTGAATGTTTTTAGATAAATCTTGTCATCACGATTCCAGGAAAACCACTTAACTGATTTTCTTGAAATGTTTACTTATGTTACATGGTAAGAAGTTCTAGAACTGATGAACTTTTTCGGCGGCCACCTTGCTTTCTGGGTCATCAAGTCCACACTGCTATGTTATAGGTACGATATTGTTCACCATGTGTTCACCATGTGCCTTTGTGTTTGTACTTTATATCAAATAATAGATGCATTTTGTGTATGACATTAATTGATTTTTAGAATTTATGAAGGTCTCATGACATGGTGCACAGTAAAATGTTGTCCATACATATAGGCCACACACATGTATTTCTCTTAAAAGAGCTTCAATTTCGTAATATACTTAGATCGATGCCAATTAAGCAGAAATTTCACTCTAAGAAAATCCCTATGCATTGTTGAATTTCTAAGAAATGTTTGACGTTTTCAATAATCTTTTTTATTATTGATGAAAGGGAGTTATTTATTCTAAAAATCGATTGATGTCAAACACAAAATGCATTTGTGTGGTAAAAAGTACAGAGACAGAGTAAAAATTTATATTTCAGAATATCACCTTGTGTTACCCCATTGAAGCGGCTGTTGCCCATGTTTCTATTAATATAGAATATTATATCATGCACGAAATATGCATTTATGTCAAATTATTACAGAAGCATAGTAAACGTTGTCTTTAGAATACCATCTTGTGTAACCTCACTTTAGTGCCTTTTGCCCCTGTTTCTATCAACATATTGAGGTTCTAAAAATCATTTGATACCATACATGAAATATGCACTTATGTGGTATAAAATAAAGAAAAAGTGAAAAGTTGTCTTCAGAATGCAACCTTGTGTAACCCCATTTTAGTGCTCTTTGCCCCTGTTTATATCAATATAAAAGCTGCTTTATGGGGGAAGTCTGTTCTATCAAACAGTACAATCACTTTTGTGGGAAAGTATAAACATAAAATGCATTTATGTGGTTTAATGTACAAAAACAGAGTAAACAAGGCACATGGTGAAGAAAATCGTACCTAAACATAGCAGTGTGAATTTGATGGCCTAGAAAGCAAGATGGCCACCGAAAAGTTAATTAGTTGAAGAACATCTTACCATGATGTAAAGTGTAAAAACAATCCGTTAAGTGGTTTTCCTGGAATCATGATGACAAGATTTATGTCAAACTTCCAAGATGGCCGCCAGAATGCAACATGGCTGCCAAAAAGCCAATCAGCTCTAGAACTTACTATTAACATGTGTTAAAATTTGAAATAAATCTGTTAAGATGTTTTCCTGGAATCGCGGTGATTTTATCTAAAAACTTCCTAGATGCGGCCACCAGAATGCAAGATCAGCTCTCGAACTTCTAACCATGTAACAAGTGTGAAATTATGAAATATATCCGTTTGGTTTTCCTGAAATCACGATGACAATATTTATCTTAAAACTTCCAAGATTGCTACCAGAATGCAAGGTGGCCACCGGAAAACGAATGAGCTCTAGGACTTCTTACCATGTAAGCTCATGTGTGAAAATTTGAAGTAAACCTGTCCAGTGGTTTTCATGGAATCGGGATGATAAGATTAAGAGTTATTAAAAAACGTTCAAGATGGCCGCCAAAATGTAAGATGGCCGCTGAAAAGTAAATCAGCTATAGAACTTCTTACCATGTAACATGTGTGAACATTTGAAGTAAATCCATTTGGTTTTTGTGAAATCGCGATGACAAGATTTATCTTAAAGCTTCCAAGACAGCCACCAGAATGCAAGATGGCCGTTGAAAGGTTAGTCACCTCTAGAACTTCTTACAATGTAACATGTCTGAAAATTTGAAGTAAATCCATCCGGTGGTTTTCCTGGAATCGTGATGACAAGAAAGTGAGACTTCAGAATGCCACCTTGTCTAATCCCATTTTAGTGACTTTTACCCCTGTTTATATCAATATAAAAGGTAGCATGTAACCTACCATGTAACTTGTGTAAAAATGTCAAGCAAATCAGTAAAGTGGTTTTCCTAGAATCACAATGACAAGATTTATCCCAAATCTTTCATGATGGCCACCAGAATGCAAGATGGCCACCGAAAAAATAATGAGGTCTAGGACTTTTTACCATATAACATATGTGAACATTTGAAGTACATCTGTTGATTCAAGTGGTTTTTCTGGAATCGCGATGACAATATTTATCAAAAAAAAATCCAAGATGGCCACCAGAATGCAATTGGCCGCTGAAAAGTTTGTGACGATCCTGCTCGTCATTTTCTATATTTATATCATTTCTCCTTACCTGGTACCTTGATCTTGCTTGGAGTTGAGAGAATCACGTATAACTACTTTGTATTGAGCTTCAAATTCACGAAACTGTTTTGATTTTAAATTTGTTTACATTTTTCATGGAGGCCGCCATTTTGGATGGTCATGTGACTAGGAAATTATCTCATTAATATTTTTGATTTTCTGTCATATAAAGAGCACTTTTAAAGCTTAACTGGAACGTAACATGTTCTTATGATGTTATCAATCATGTATTTTGATGTTGCAAACATATTGTTATATGTTTAGACTTTAATGTATAAAAATGTTTTGTTTGAGTTTCGAGATTAACTTGCACACTCTGAAATTGTGGACAGCCTTTGATAGTTTGGGAAATCAGCTGTTTTCGTAATCAAGAATCGTTTTGAAGCCTAGAAAATCGCTTTGAAGTCAAAGATGTGTTTCTAAAGAAGGCAAACATGCCCGGGATGACGACAAAGCTCTTTGAAAACTGGGTGAGATATATTACTGTATAATTTTGGTGATTTCACTGGCTGTTTACAATATTATTTAGCCGTAATAATTTTGCTGATTCTGATCTCATCTTTGGATTGTCTTTCTATTCATGTAGACGGAATATAATTTAGTCATTTACGAATAAAGATAGTAAAACAGGATCTTAAGAGGTTCTGGACAAATCATTTGATTCTGGACTTGTCATATTTTTTTTTCAACGAAATCACATCCAAGGGTTGAATTTTTATTAGCTATTTAGGGAGTGAGTCCTGCCTAGTATTAACTTCAATAAAAAAGTTAAAATAGAACCCTATTTGAGAGTCAATCTAATACTTACATTACATTGATAAATTAAGGCAAATCCTGAAATATTTTTAAAGTGCATTTTTTTATGAAATATTATCCAGCAAGTATTTAGATGAAACGGTCTTATTTAAATACAAATCATAACATGATGATATTTTTCATTAAACATTTTTCAATGAAATTCAATTGAAGGGTCAAGATAAAACGAGCTAATTTAGGTGAAAACCCTTACATGATGATGTGTTTTCATAACTTCTTTCATAAAATTCCATCAAGGGGTGAAGATAAAATTATCGAATTTAAGTGATTAAGGATCACGAGGATATGTTTTCTTTGATATTTTCTATGAAATCCCATCCAATGGTCAAGGTAAAATTTTTATTTTTATTTGGTATTAGGTCACGTCTTCGAAAGATCCATATAAGGCCCATTGAACCATATAGGAACGTCATTTTGAATGTCACGTGATAGATCCATATAAGGCTTTTAGAACCATGTATGGAAAGATGAGGGGAAGCCCCTGACACCTGTTTCACGAATTATCCGAACGTTGTTCGCATCATTTCGGTTTTTATGCACTTCATTATTGTACCGAAGTTTGCCGATTCGATTCGTCGTATTTCGGAATCCTG